TGTGAACCATATGTTTCTTTATTCCAAATTACATGTTCTACCATAATAATGTGGATGTGCTACTAGATCTAGAAAATATGTTACACAATAGATTAACATTTGGCAGATGTTTTGTTATACAAGTACTTGTGTTACAAAGTAGTAAAACTTTTTTGGATGTAAATGAATATGTCTTGTATTTCAATAGAAATAGTAAGGGCAATATATTGGTATTATCTCATAAATAATGATATCATGCAGTGCCATGTAATTACGAGATGACTTAACAGACAACACGTACAATTTATGTATTGGTATTGTTTTTAAGTTGTCTCATAATAATTCTAGAGACCTTAATTTCTGTATAAAATAAATGAATGTTTGTAAGTTACATGACAACAACCATTTGTACAATAGTATATAAGTAGTCTTATAATCCTGAATTTTATCTTATGAGGCGGTTGCTTCATGAAACAACCACATCTTTCTCTTACCTCCTCTCTCTCTCTCCTCCCACATCTTTCTCGTTTGGTGCAGCTCCGGCCAGCTCCGGTTCCTTTTTGCAAATCACTGTAGCATCACGGTTTGTCAATGTAACGCAAAGCTGTTTCAGATCCCTGCTAGAAAAATGAACTAGGGAGAGGTGACGCCAAGACTTTGGCGGCTTTAGCTCCTGCAGGCTACAATAGTAGAGCTGACGGGAGCTCCACCAAGCATGCCCTAACAAGACGTGTTACTTGGAGATCTAGTAACATGTTTATTGAGCTATAGTAACAGCATGCTTACGTAGTACTAACACACATGCTACCGATGCACCTCAATTAATTAATTAATTAAAGCCACGCTTCACCTTGCGTTGTATCCACTCCGTATCATTTGTATATTACACAACACCTTATAGATGCATAATCCCCATGACTCCAAGTGATATTCTGTGCTATCCTTATATTTAATTTGACCATAACTCTAATAAATGTTAGGATACTAGTATCAGCCCTGCAGGGCATGTTTCCACCGGCAAAAGCGACAATTGAATCTACCGAGACGAACATGTAAGATCATATATGAGACTGGAAGCAGGATATTTGTCGATGAGATTCAGTCGAAGCCTACATCTCTGGAACATTACTATGAGAGCTTCTTCGTGAAATTACAACACTAGATTTTCCAGGGTCTGGCACAAGGCACCACCCACTCCTGTGAAGATGTCGCTATATTATCATGGTTACAACAACAATATTTCTCTCGTACTTAGGAGAAAACTGGGTTCCAAGTCAGACTCTAACTCTAGCCTATTACTACTAAATAAAACTCAAAAACCAAAAATAATCAGACTTGTATATATATTCAATACATATTCTAACATAGCCTTGCTCGTCGCGGGTGCTGCACTCCAAGCAGTAGTTTGTATCCTAGCCGAGCCATGCCATTGGTGCAATATATCTTCCTTGGCATCAGACCGCCAATGCTATCTTCCTCCCTTGTAAGAGAGCTGCTCGGTGCCGGTGGCACGATGACACCAATGAGTTGGAGACTTTGCAATGGGCGACGTGCAGCAGTTGGCCAGGAGCTAACGTGAGAGGGAAGAGGTTTGAATAGGCAAGTTTGGTTCGAGTACAGTAGTGTTTTTCCCACCTTTATTTGTGCGTTAGTATAGGTTATTACGATCTTAGCTTACCGGTCGTATCTAGTTTGCAATTCCTATGGCTCAGCTAGCTAAATTTTAATCATAATCCATAGAAGAGCTAATAGCTATGCTATAAATTTACCCTAGCTCCAACTAGTTGTTCACTCACTAGTCAGCAAGATCCAACTAATTTAGGCTAAAAGCAGCAACCAATGATGAAAATATCAAAATACCCCTCACTATAGGAGCCAAAATGAGTAGAACAATTTGGGCTAAAAGCATCAACTAATGATGAAAAGACCAAAATACTCCTCACTATAGGTGCCAATTAAAACGAGTACAACAATTCTAAGAACAAAACTGACTTTAGGTAGGATTAAATTTATCTATTAGCTCTTGTATCCAAATAGCGCATGGTTAATTTTAGTGCAGCTAGCGCCCGGACATCCGGCCGCAGGACGTGTCCGGACGCTGCTCCCGTTCAAGCACATCACCACGCCCTGTCCCGTCCCCACGTAAAGGAGAGCGCCCACCACACCCGTGTCACCTACGACTTCCTCGTCCCGGCTGCGCCCATGCCCGGCCACAGCCCTTTCTCCGTCGTGCCCTGTCGCCGAGCTCGAACTACTGCTGCGAGATGGAGGGAAGGGAAGGGAGGCGAGGGGGAGGGAGAGGAGAGGAGAGGGCGAGGCACACCGCGTGAGGTAGGAGCCAAAGCTCTGCGGCAGGCCGCTGTCCGCCAGCCACCGGCGCCATTGCAACATGTGCAACATCCGATCTACTTTTGAAAAATCAAGATGAAACATTTGCAAATACGTCTAAAGACAAATGAAACACTTCAAACATGCTTCTAAAACACTTGCAAAACACCTGAAAAGCCATTGAAAACATATGCAACATCTAGATAAAATACTTGCAACATATGTGTGAAACATATGCAACATCCAAATAAACACGCTTGCAACATACATCTAGAAAAACAAATGAAACATTTGGAACAGACGCTTGCAACATATGTGTATAGCCATTGCAACAAATACAACATCCCGATATACTTTTGCAACATCAATATCAAACGCTTGCAACATATCATTGGAACATCTGAAACGCTTGAAACATACTCATGCAACATGCGCTTTCAACAAAACCCTGGCAGACAGGTGGGCGGGCGGAGCATTGCACAGCGGGATCCGGATGTGCGGTCACGGTGGAGAAGGAGGATGGCAGCGGGCGGGCGGTTGCGCGAGCAGCGGCAGCCATCTGGGCCAGCCCAGGCGTGGCGCGGCACGGCTGGCCCGGCGCACAGCCTAGCACGCGCGACCAGCCCGACGGCTGCCCGGTCGAGGGCGCGCACTAGAGGGAGCAGGGGCACGCAGGACCAAAGCGAGGAGCGAGAGGCGCGGGTGAGGCGTGCGACAGGCGAGGGCGAGGAGCGAGCAGCATAGGATAGGTCGCACGGCTGGGGAAGCACGGTAACAGTAAAGCAGGGCGTGGCGGGGGACGCGCGGTAGCAGCGTCGCGAGGCAGAGTGGGTGCGCCGTGCGCGGTGTCCGAACGGTACGGACGCCCGTGGCCTATAATTGTCGTCTAAATATTAGCAGGTTAGCAATTAGCGCTATCCATTACCAAAAAAAAGAGTTAAATACACTAGTGGCCCTTAAACTTGTGGTTCTGTGCCACTTAGGTCCACGAACTCTCAAAATCGAAATCTGCCTCCCTAAACTTGTCAAAGTGTGCCACTTAGGTCCATACCCCCTTCAGAGTACACTGATTGGTTAAAATCTTACAAAAAAACACCCTATCTATATATATCTAGTCATCTTTTATCCCTAGCGCTCCTTTCCTAGGCCCGCGGTGCCGGCGTCGCCCGAGTCGGCCACCACCTCCGCGCCGAGCACTCCTCCCCATCGCTGATTCGCCGCCCCATACCCCGGCCCACTTCCCGACGTCCTCGCTCGCCAGCGCACGCACATGCGGCGGTGGCAAGGCAGCCTCGTGCGCCCAGGACCTCCGGGCGCCGCCCGTGGCCGCCATCGAGCGCGTGGACGGCCAGCGTCTTGGCGTCAGTAGGGAGGAGTAGGATGTCCAGGGATGTGGGTGTGCGGGAGCTGGAGGCAACGGTGATGGGTTGGCCACCTCTACATCGGGGGGCGCGACGCGTGTGTGGCGAGGCACGGGCGGTGGCTGCGCGTAGAGCGGCCGAGCAGCGGTGGCTCCAGTGCGCAAGGCGAGCATCAGGGAGCTTGCTTGTGGTGCAGCCGTAGGTGAGCTGGCCTTTTCCAGTTTGGAGTAGCGGAGCTTGTGGCCAACTATGGCTTGCTCGTCCGCGAGGGACCGTCGTTCGCCGCCGCAACTAGTAGCTCGCCGAAGGGGAGCTCCACCTGCGACGCTAGGGCAATGCCGCCGGGGTGCTTGTCGTATAGTAGCAGGATCCCCTATCACCATCACCCGGAGGCGGCGCACACCATGCGTCCCATGGGCAGCGACAGGACGTTGAGGAGCACGTGCATGGCTGCGTGCATGCCGCCGTGGACCCTAGCCTCCTCTGCTCCATGGCCGCCTTCATCGGCCATCTTCGTGAGCCTCGTAGGCACGGTGGATGGTGATGGATGATGACCCGCGGTGCCCGAACCTGTCTTGCTCAGCGGCCGTTGTGCCGGAGGCCCAGAGCTAGTTGACGAGGTGGCCGCTGCCGAGGACACGTCCTAATTCGCGCCTCCCGTGTTGCACGATGGTGTTGGATCCGGCTATGCCGCTGAATAGGAATGAGGCAGCGAGCATGCACTCCCTCGCCCACTCTCGTGTCGCAAGCCACATTATGGCCTCGTGCTTCGTGCCCACACCGTGGCCATTCCTAGGCTCGCTGCCCCCGCGACTCGCACGCCCCGCCGCCCGTGGCATGAGCTCCTAGGCGGGCGAGGTTGCTCCCACTGCCATCGCCTGGACGTGCGCTGGTGAGTGGGGACGCCAGGAGGTGGGCTAGGGTGTGGAGCGGCGATGGGGATTGGTGAGGCATGCTCGGCCGGAGGAGGAGGCCGGCTTGGGCGATGTCGACACCGCACGGGCCTAGGAAAGGAGTGCTATAGGAAGATGACCAGATAGGGTGGTTTTTGTAAAATTTTATCCTAGTCAATGCCCTATGAGGGGGTATGGATCTAAGTGGCACACTTTGACAAGTTCAGGGAGGCAGATTTCAATTTTGAGAGTTCATGGACCTAAATGGCACGGGGCCATAAGTTTAAGAGCCGTCAATGTATTTAACTTTAAAAAAAAAGTGGTGGGCTGACTGGGCCAGAAACAGCAGGTCCATGGCCTGTCTCTCCTTAATTTCCTTCCCGTTTTCCCTCCTGTGGTCGCACGGGGGGTGCGAAAATTCCACGAACCTGAGCCCAACATGGAGCCGGCGACCCCTCCGGCACCCGCCGCCGGCGTCACGGCCACCGTCGACCTCTCCCCAGTGGCTGCGAGCCTCGGCGGGGCGCACCTCCTGCCCTGTGGCATCAGGCAGAACGGCGGCGCCCCCGTATCCGACTACTTCAAGCCTAGGGCCACAGGTCCGTTCCCCCCGACTCAAATCCCTCGTTTCCTTTTTCCCGCTCATTTGGTTGAGGAATTGGTGTGGGCCTCCTGACAGGTGTGGAGGTGGAGGGGGTGAAGGTGGAAGAGGCCTTCTTCCGCGGAAGGAAGCTGCAGGGGGCTACCCTAACTCTCCCGGATGGCTACCGAGGTGACATAAGTTTCTTGCTTCTGCTTTCTTCAAGCCTACAAGATTTGTGAATTTACAGTTTGGGAGCTTTGGAGTGGGAAATGTGATTTTTTTTTCTTCTTCTTCATCGATTCATAGCAATGTACATTGATTTATGGTCTGAATGATAGTGAAGCTGTGTAGAATCAGTGTAACTGCAACTAGATGCACCTAAAATCGACATTCTCTCCAAACTGCTTGCGCGCCTTTAAGGTAACTGGAGGAATTGTGTGTGGCGCTGATAAAAACTGAAACTTTATGTGCAAACATTGATCTTCTAGCAGTCCTAAAAAAAGGTACCTTCAAAAACTGTTCTAATAAGAATTAATTGATGATTCAAATGCATGCTAACAAGTATAAAAACTATGAAGTAAGGAAGCCATGTGCAAAAATCCTGAAGTTTCAGTTTGAGTTTGACTGCAGAAGTGATCATTGAATGGTGGTGTGATTCCTTTTTTTATCTGAAATATGGCCATCGGCCTTCTTAGTACAAATAGGGTGTACCCAGTGTAGAGAGCTCCCGCTCTGTGCGGGGTCTGGGGAAGGGTGTCAGTGGCAAGCCTTACCCTCGCCTGTGCAATGCGAATTACGACTCGAACCCGGGACCTTCCGGTCACAGGCGGTAAGACTCTACCGCTTGCACCAGGCCCGCCCTTCTTAGTACAAATAACAAATGTTAAATTGTCTTGGGATGCTAAGTTTGCATGTACATCTAGAATTCTAGATGTGTGGAGATGATAGGTGGGTATCAGTGGTAACAATCTGTCATTCTGGATCTTCAATAGAAACTGTGAATTCAAGGAAGTCCTGCAAGTCCTGCAGTTTGACCGTGTTTATGATGCTTTTAATATTCTCCGAAGGTTATGTATTGGAGAAGAGGCCTGGACAGAATTCAGATGTTGAAGTTAGCAATTTTGTATCCCGAGCTGAGTTCCAGAACATAACCTACTGGAATCATGATACCACGCCATCAGCAGAGGATTCCCTCCCAAGGTGCTTTCATTGGCTAACTGTTGCTAATGCGGTGAGTATATATCGATCTGTTTCTTGTCCAATTATGCAAATCCATTTTGATTGTCCCTACTTCCTGTGGTTAGCTATATGCAGTGGGTCATAAAAATTATAATCATTGAAGCAGCAGAAATGTCATCACATAGACTGACAGACATGATCTTAATTTTGGCTTTCCTGTTTGTACAGATGCACAAACCAGTGACTGCTGAAGACCTGACTAACATGTCAGCAATGCAGAATCAGGACAACTAGATCCATTGTATGACGATTATGAATGTAACTGAGGCACGGTGAAAAAAGTCTACTCAGTGCAATTTCGATTTAGTGAACCATCCCGACAAGATATCTTCCTGTAACAAACAGCACATTGTTTGAACACATCCACTAGGTAATGTTTAGGCTTTAGGGTAAAGATGCTTCAGTAGCATCTGAGAATGCTTGGGTAATTTAGGTTGGGACCTGTATCAGTTATCTCTAATGTTGTGACAGAGTGCCAGTGTTGCCTTTGTGTCTATCTTGCCTTAATGTGATTGCGGAAAAAAAAAATCAAAGAATCATAGTTCTTTTTAAAAACATTGAAGAATCAGATTTGTTGCGGGCAATAATGTCAAATAAGCATGCACCGATGCATTTCACCATGGTTTTAATCAACTCTATCACGGCCTGAGTAGCACTGATACATTGGAATTACAATGGAAGCGCCTCTACCACTTACAGATTGAGTCTTATTAGAAAACCTCAGCTTGGTAGTTAGATCGTACAATGTTCTGTTGGGCCTTGTGGGATTCATCAGACTCATCAGAGAATCAATCGGCAGGCTAATTTCCCATAGGAATACCGAATCTTACACGCATGATGCGCAATTAATCATCATGCATGGTATAGGGCAAGGCTAATTGCAAAACAGTGGACGTTCAGGGTCTAACCCAGAGTGCTAGAATAACAGGAGATACATATTTGAATGGGGCTGCTCAGTACGAGTACAAGGCTCTAGCAGAACTAGGAGAAAGAAGAAACAAAAACAAACCTCTCAACACTCTACTATGGACCCCCTGTTTCTAACCAAAAGAGTGGCAACTGAAATTGCACATCGTCACTCATTCTTTCCATTGCAAGCAACCATAGAACCCAGGCCTAGCCTTTGCCTTCAGCTCATGACCAGCATCTTTGCCCATCTCAACCATATCGTCGAAAGAGTACGGTCCAGTTTTTGTTGTCTCATATACTGTAAGCAGAATCACAGAAGTAATCAGTTGTTGTCAACTTGTCATTAATGATGAAATGCGATAGTTTTCTTTTCGGTTCTTTTAATTGATATTGAGCATACCTTTAGATCCATCTGGTGAAGCCAATAGACCTCGGAATGAACAACTCCCATCCTTATCACGATGAGCATAGGCTGCAATTGGAGTTCGGCAGTTACCATCAAGAACTGTCAAGAATTCTCTTTCGCATGCAACAGCTGATCTGGTATCTTCATGGTTCAACGAGGACAGGTACTCCATCTGCAAAGGGGTAAAGAATGGGAGCTCTCACAATCTCACATCTTTGGCTACATAAGTGTGTTGAAAAAAACATGAACCCAGACAAGTGCAGCGTGCTCTGCAGAGCTGCACAGGGCATTCATGTACATTACAGAGTAAAACAGAAATGTGCACTCAGAAATTAGAATATTTTACAGTGCTTAAGTGATAGTTTTGAATATTATTAAACACTTTTGGAAAACACAGCAATAAATAAAATGAAGATTGAGCTAGTAAAATAAAAATGTAAAGACTGACATGACAAAGGAGCCAGATTTGAAATCATTATTATGGTGCTTTATAACAGCATCATCTACTGTATGGTTCTTATTCAGGAACAGAGAATGGGCAGTGGAACTTGTCACTCAATCAAAGGAGCACGGCAGCACCAGCATGCAAAGTTCAATAGCGAAAAGATAGCAAAGCTGGTGACCTGCGGTCATATTTGTAATGTGGAATTATGCAGCAGCACTTTTTTTTTTCATCTACCAGCGCACTACAACACTGGACAACGTACCATTTTGTCGTCATTGCTTCGGCAAGCTATTCCAATGGCACCTTGGGCAACTGCTGGAAGCATTTCTTCCATGGATAATATAGATGTTACATTTTCTGCCATATTTAGCCGCTTTAGTCCAGCCAGTGCCAACAGCGTAGCATGGACATCTCCGTTCTTGAGTTTCGTTAACCGTGTCTGAACATTTCCTCTTAAGTTAACAACCTGAAAGCCACTCAATACTGTTAAGCCTTATAGAACAATTAAGATAAGTAAGACACACTTCTAAATAACTAGCTATAAGACTGTGAAGAGAGTCTACAACTGGACAGAATCCTCTTTGTAACAAAAAAAAAATCCAATAGTACATCCAGGCTAGGCAACTTTTCACACACGTCACTGAAAACAAGTGCTTTAAGGTTACACAATAAAAGAGTTGAGAACTGCAACTGGTAGAATAAACAATCTATGTATGATGCTTCAGACTTCAGAGAAAAAATTCAGATAGCTTGCTCTCTATGTATACATGGAAAAAACACCAGATAGGGTGATGAATGAAACTTCCTGCTTAATGAAAAACGTGCCTAGGCACGATCGCGAAAAAAAAGGGTGATGAATGAAACTGCCATGCTTACCTTAAGTGACGGATATCTGCAGAGAATCTGAGATTGTCTCCTCAGGGAAGCACTTCCGACGACACAACCAGAAGGAAGCTCCGCAAGTGAATTTGCAGTCAGACATATAAATGCATCTCTAGCATCTTCTCGCCGGAGGTTGCATGGCAGTATTGTTCCTTCAGGTAGATATGTTGGGACATCTTTCATAGAGTGAACAGCAATATCAATCCTTCCCTGCAACAGCGCATCGTCTATCTCCTTGGTGAATAAACCCTTGCCTCCAATATCTGCAAGGGGTTTGTCCAAGACCATGTCTCCTGTGGTCTTTATAATGACGATCTTAACAGCCCCCTCCTCAGCTAACTCGGAGTGTGCAGCTTTCAGTTTATCTCGAGTTTCACGGGCTTGTGCAAGAGCAAGATCACTGTCCTAAATAGCCAATGACTAGAATTACAAATTTGTATGCTCCACAAAAAACAAGAGAGAGAAGCAACAAACTACACTGAATCGAAAAGTGAAAACTGAAAGCTGAAAAGAGTAATTGTAGTTTGACAGTAAACCATGACTACTCCTGAGTAACTTCTAATCGACAAAAGCAAGATGTCTGAAGAGCATAGAATTTCCACAAGATCCAAGGAGAGGTCGTATTGAGTAAGCCAAGACAAAGACCCTTCTAAACATCTACATAGTGTGGTGACATTTTAATGTACAAATTAACCGATTATTACTAAGAGACCATCATTTAGCTTTTATAAAGGCCAAAGGCCAGTTACTACTGATCCAAAATTGCAACAAAACGAAGCCATATATGCAAATCGTGCTAAACATCATCAAATACTTCGTGCTAAACATCTAAAAGACGCGATAGGTTAAGAGGCGCAGCTCAAAACCCCTATTCCCAGAGGAGCATAACCCCCAAGAACCCGCAGAAAAGGGCCGAATTTGATCACCTTCCACGCGTCCCAATCCGGATGAGGGGGACCTTGGACTGCGCGACGGCCTCCACGGCGATGGGGCACGCCGGCCGCTGCGGGCGCGCGAGGCAGGTCGGCGGGCCGAGGAGGGACTGGTGCGCGGTGGCGCATCGCAGCGACACCATCTCCGACCGGCTAGAGAGGGTTAGAGGACTGTGCGCGCGAGGGACGGAGGGAGGAGACGCCGAGATGTGCGAGGGATTCAAATTCAGGAAATTTCATCTATACCATCAAATTTTGCTTGTTACCGAGTAATATAACATAGCATACCATCAGAAAGATCATCAATCCATCTATAGCAGTATAGCACAGCGCTTCAAGTTTTCTTCGACACATACCCTAAACATTCTCCTTTCCCCCAAAAAAATCAGGGATGTTTTGTCGGGCCTCTAACAGAGGGATGTGACATTCATCACACTCATTTGAGAATCAATCAGCAAGGCTAATTTTTCTTAAGAATAGGAACATTGAATCTTACTCCCATGGTTACCATGAGCTCAATTATTCTTGAAACAACAACTATCAGCAAAGTCACATCCAAGTTTACAACGTAGCTGTGCAGGTACCTCTTCGACAAAACATAGCTGTGCTCTGCAGATACCTATAAGGTTCTAACCCAGAGTGCTATAAGAACAGGAGATACAACAAAGCAGAATGGAGCTGCTCAATATGAGTGGTAGTACAAGGCTCTAGCAAAACTAGTAGGAAAAAGGAGAAACAAAAACAAACCTCTCAACACTCTACTTAGGCCCTCCGTTTCTAACCAAAAGAGTGGCAATTGGAATTGCACATGGTCGCTCATTCTTTTCATTGCAAGCTATCAAAGAAGCCAGGCCCAGCCTTTGCCTTCAGCTCATGACCGGCATCTTTGCCCAACTCAACCATGTCGTCAAAAGAGTACGGTCCACTTCTTGTTGTCTCAAATACTGTAAGCAGAATCATACAAGTGACAAAGTGTTGTCATTCGATGATAAATACAGCAAAATCATTTTAAGATCTTTTCAATCGAAAATCAAGGATACCTTTAGATCCATCTGGTGAAGCCAATAGACCCCGGAATGAGCAATTCCCATCCTTATCACGGTAAGCATAGGCTGCAATTGGAGTTCGGCAGTTACCATCAAGAACTGCCAAGAATTCTCTTTCACATGCAACAGCTAATCTGGTATCTTCATGGTTCAACGAGGATAGATACTCCATCTACAAAAAAAAGGGCAAAGAATGAGATATTTCATCATTTTTTGCTACAAATAGTGTTAAAAAAACCATGAACCCAAGCAAGTGTCTGGCATGCCCTTGATAGCTGCATAATACATTCATGTACATTGCAGAATAAAACAACAATGTGCACTCAGAAATTAGAAATATAAAGACCTATTGTAAGGCATAGTTTCAAAGATTAAATGCTTTCGGAAAAGCCACAAGATGCAACATGGCCAGGATAAAGAAGCAATAAATAAAAGAGACTTGATGAATAAAAATGCAAAGAGTGGCATGACAAATAAATCAGATCTTAAAACAATTATATGTGCTGCCTAAACAGCATCGTCTAAAATGATTATTATTCAGGACCATAAAATGGTCACTTGACCTTATCACCAGGGGAGCAGATCCAGAGTATTAGTAATGCTGTCACCTGACAACAATGACTTGTGTAAACTCAATGAAAAATTACTATGGGCACAAGAGACAATGACACAGCATACCTATCATAGCTATGCTAGTGACATCAATGATTCCTAATTCTAGATCCGCCCTTGCTTATCACTTAATCAAAGAGCGTGCAAAGTTCGATAGAGAAAAGGTAGCAAAGCTAGTGTCAGATTTGTATATGGAATCATGCAAGCATCATGTTTTCTCCATCTACCAGCATACTACAACACCGGACCCCTTACCATTTTGTCATCGTTGCTTCGGCAAGCTATTCCAATCGCACCTTGGGCAACTGCTGGAAGCATTTCTTCCACTGATAATACAGCTGTTGCATTTTCTGCCATATTTAGCCGCCTTAATCCAGCCAGTGCCAACAACGTAGCAGAGACATCCCCTTCCTTGAGTTTCCTTAACCGTGTCTGAACATTTCCTCTGAAGTTAACTACCTAAAAACCATTCAATACTGTTAAGCACGAAACTAATCAAGATCAATGCCTAATCAAAACACACTTGTAATAGATTAAAAAATACAGGCTTCTAAATAACTAAGTGCAATACTCAGGCGAGAGTCTACAACCATCAACCGAACAGAATTCTTTTTATAACCTTTTTTTTTTTGCAATAGTGCCTCTAGGATAGGCATCTTTTCACATGTATGGCATAGAAAACAACAGCTTCACAATCATAGAAATAAAAAATATACATATTTATAAGAGTTTTTTAAAGTTTATAAAAGAGTTAAGAACTGAAGCTGATAGAAAGAAGATCTATGTTCTAGACTTCAGAGAATGAGCTCAGAAAGCTCGCTCTCTTTATATGCAATGGGAAAAAAACCACCGGACTCGCAATACTGGGAAGTATCTATGAACACATTAGTAAATCGGCTAGTGCTAAAATCACAAGTATAGGGGGTGGGGAGGGAAAGTGTGATGAGCACAACCATCATACTTACTTTCAGTGATGGATATCTGTAGAGAATCTGAGATTGTCTCCGCAGGGAAGCACTTCCAACAACACTGCCAGCAGGAAGCTCTGCAAGCGAATTTGCAGTCAAGCATATGAATGCATCTCTGACATCTTCTCGTGGTAGGTTACAGGGCAATATTGTGCCTTCAGGTAGATAGGTTGGAACATCTTTCATAGAGTGAACAGCAATATCAATCCTTCCTTGCAAGAGCGCGTCATCTATCTCCTTGGTGAATAAACCCTTTCCTCCAATATCTGCAAGGGGTTTGTCCAAGATCATGTCTCCTGTGGTCTTTATGATGACGATCTCAATAGCCCCCTCCTCAGCTAACTCAGAGTGTGCGGCTTTCAGTTTTTCTCGAGTTTCGTGGGCTTGTGCAAGAGCAAGAGGACTGTCCTAAATAACCAATGACAAGAATTACAAATTTGCATATTCCACATGAAAAAAGAAACAAACAACATTTTGAACTGAAACGTGGAAGGGAAAATTTGCTTTGGCAGTAAACAGTGACTTTTCTTAAGTAACTTTTCCCCCTTTTTTTAACGGATTCTTGAGTAACTTTCTCTCAACAAAAGGAAAATGTTGAAAAGGCATAGAATTTCCACAAGATCCAAGAAAAGTAGTAAAGTCGCTAAGACTAAGTCAAGGCAAAGACTGGTAAAGACAACATCCTTGTAAACACTGACATGAAACCAGTAGCTATCATGAGAATAACACAAGAACAATACGGCATCTATGGCGTTGACACAAAATAGTAGAGGTAACATCTAAAATGTACAATTTTGCCGACTATTAAGAGCCATTCTTTAGCTCTATCAAGGTCAACACCCAGGTACTACTGAGTACTGATCCGGAATTGCATCCTACGAAGCAAGGAAGCGCATCCTTCCTGCTAAAGATTCTCGATACTCCTTTGAACTTCACCAAATTATCCACAAATGTTCAACACGTAATAAAGACGCAATAGGTTCAGAGCCACATCTCAAAACTCAAATTCCCGGCGGAAGAGCTAAACAAAGGATCTCTCAGGCACTCACAACGCGTTGCTGTCCCCAAATGCAACTATTAATAGAACCTAAAGCCACGATTTTGACCAACATAAGCCCAAATTCAGCGCACTCCCAACCAAAGAAACAGCAGAAAGGGTCGAATTCGATCACCTTCCACGCGTCCCAATCCGGATGAGGGAGACCTTGGCCTGCGCACCGGCCTCCACGGCGACGGCAGCGCGCACGACGGGGCACGCCCGCCGCCGCGGGCGCGCGAGGCAGGTCGGCGAGCCGAGCAGGGAGTGGTGCGCGGTGGTGCATCGCAGCGAGACCATCTCCGCCCGGCTGGAGAAGAGGGGTCAGACGACTGGGCGGCGAGGAAGGGAGAGAGGAGAGGCCGAGATGCACGAGGGAATGGGCTCTGCCGAGGTCTGGATTCTGATCTGGTTGAGCTGGTTACGCTCTCGGCGTGGATGAGGAGAGGATAATGTGTCAGGATTGGCCAACCACAGCGAGGGCTACTCTGCTCGTTTCTATCCTGCTCAGCATGAGCTCAACTTAATAATAGACCTAGGGATTTTCTAGATATATTTCTATTGATTTTGTTTGTTTTATTGTTTGCTAAAAGTTTTCTCATGCTTAGGCCGGTTGAATTCACCTCGAATTGGAAGTTGTATTTGTAAAAGCATGCAGCCTGTTCGGGAGGCCGTATCGTATCGTGGATTATTTACTGCTGGCTGGTTTGATGTGAGAGAAAAACCCTGTTCTCGGCTAGAAATTTACGATCGTTTACGAGCAAGCGAACAGGCAGATGGTCTATTTGGATAGTTGGAGAGGGTTATTTTGCTACTTTTGGGTGTGAATTGATCCCCTCCTAGGTTCTTTTTGTAAGGTTTCTTTGCAAATGGCACCTCACCAGTAAAAAAAAATGGATTCTTTCTTCCGTAACTTTTTCTTTTGATAAGATATTGTTTGGTAGGACTTCAAGTAAAAACCTAAAAAAGTCAGAGTTGAAAGCCTGTGAAGAAGCTCTGTCAGAAAAGATCTTAGTTGGATGTAGCATGGTTGCTTATGACAAGCTGTGGTGACATGGATGAGCAATTTTTTTTGTCTTGTTAGGTCTTTGTACCAGCGGGGAGGTAGGGAAGTATCTTACAAACACCTCGAATTGTTAGTTTTACAATTTCACTTGATTGATTTAAGAAAGGCAAGGTACTTGAATTAGCGGGTATTCTAAAAACCGATTTTCACGACATGGTGTGGATCTAAACATTAGTTTAGAAGATATAAATATTACTAAAATAGTTGAACCGCATCGGAAAAAAAAAATCATCTATTGTTTCATTAAAGGTTACACTTAACATCATCTTAACTATTTTTATAGCTTTTATCTCACCATAGAATATATTATTTGGATAAGTTCATGACACTTTGGAGCTTAGCTCAAAGCATATAGGCACAAACATCTACCTTGTATGGCCATGTGAAACTCACTTATTTCTTCCATGGCCCACTTAAGAAGACAAATAATTCATGTTACGACTGATCGACTTAGTAACATAGATTTAAGATTAATCAGATCTATTCAATTTCAACACACACATATTAAAAGTTGAGTATTTTTTACAAAATGTTAATGCAATTATTTATGAAATCTGGCGTGGATGTCAAACATTCACCTCATATGCAGATGCAGTGTAATTTTCTCTAAGTCTACTTTTTAAAGAAACATCTATTTATTTAGGTTTATTTTATGTACATCTATTTTTCATGTCTGATGTCCTATGATACGTCTTATTTAAATAAAATTTTCAGTATTTAGTATTCGAAGTGTAGCTAAATATAAAATATTTTCATAGAACTATTAAAATTAGAAAATAGAAATGTATCGGAATAAAAAGGAGAAAAAGAACAAGCTAAATAGTTAATAATAAAACAAAAGAATAATAAAAAAGGAAAAAGAAGAGAGGCCAATTGCACATCGCAACAGCTACCGATGGTCACCACTGCCGTCGCGGCGGTCGCCGGCGCCGTGCCGCCGCCTCGGAAAGCCAAAGCAGTAACTGTAGCCACAACACCACCTCCCACCCTCACTAGAAGGCAGCTCCTCGCCGCGGTTGCCACCGCCTCCACCCTCCGCACGGTCGCCGCCTCGGCTGCGGCCCCCAGATTCGCCGAGATCCCCGGCTCCGGCGTCGTGAAGGCCCTGGACCTCCGGGAGGGTTCAGGAGAGATCCCGGCCGTCGGCGACCAGGTAAAGACGCGCCTATCTACACTGACTGCGTTTTTTAGCACAATTCTTGCTTGGTCTATCATTAACCAATTTCACACATTGAAATTCCTCTAGCTTATCAGTCGATGCTGAGCTGATGATCCGCATAAGTTCACTGCAATTTCTTCTTACGATTAACAAGCTGCGAGTGCATGGATTACTTGGATTGTTCATGCAGGCATTTTGTGGCTTGTATTATTTCTAAGAAATGTGTATGAAAGGCTCTCATGTTTAATGTTTTCTCACACTAGTATGAACTACACAGGTTGCAATTCACTATTATGGGAGATTAGCAGCGAAGCAAGGATGGCGCTTTGATTCCACCTATGATCATAAGGACGAGACCAATGATCCCATGCCGTTTGTCTTCACCCTTGGGTCTGTCAAAGTGAGATACAGATTTCATTAACTTGTGCAGAAGAAATGGATTATATCTATGGTATTGATACTGCTGCAGTTTGGATAAAGATCTTAACTGAACTTTGTATTCTTCCACTCTGAAGTTCCATTAGTTGATATTATAGTGTAGCATTGGTGTTCCTATGTTCTTCAAACATGCTCGAGAATCCTAGTTGATTTTTGATACATGGAGTTACAGTTGTTCTGTTGTGACGTATAGTTATTGTAGGCTATTTTCATATTAGCATCGCAGCTGCTATGCATCTGTAGGAGTATAAACCATCTGTTCTTAACTTCTTATGCATTTTGAGTTCCCTGAATATTATTCATAGCCATTGTCTAAGCATCCAACAAAATAAATTTTATGGGATGTTCGCTTTTGGAATCATTATGGGTCTCATACTCAAGCGGTCAAGGCATAATATAATATGGATCTTGCAGGTTATACCTGGTATGGAAGCAGCAGTGAAGTCCATGAGAGTTGGTGGTCTTCGCCGAGTGATCATTCCACCATCACAGGGTTACCAAAACACATCACAAGAACCAATTCCTCCTAATGTAACTCCTGTGGCCTCAATATTCTAGATTTGTTGTTATATCATGTAGCTGGTGATCAACTGGAGTATCTCCAATCTGGCCAACTCCTAATCATTACTCTCTGTTGCATGCGCAATTTATTTAAAAATGGCTTCGTGGTTGGTATATTCCCTTGAGATACACGGGTGTGCTTGGATTAAGAAAGTATCCATTTCATATCTGTAGTCGAAGGATGTAATTCGGTACTGCTGGCTGGACATAATAGAGTACTAATTTCACCTGTTGTTTTTGTGCAGTTCTTTGATCGACAGAGGCTATTTACTACTATATTCAACCCAACACTTCTCGCGAATGGCGAGGATTCCACTCTTGGTACACTTATCTTCGACATCGAGCTAATCAACATAAGGCAGCATTCATAATTGTTTTGCTGTGTGAGGACAGAAGACTGATCAACCCCCTTATTGAAATCTTTTAGCTCCATACTCTTGTGTATAAAAAGCTGCCCTGTGCAAAAATTTAATCATGCTTTATGCTTAGTCCCTTTGGTTGATACGTGTAAAACATAGTAATCGTCAACGTTCCTTCGGCAGTCCCAATTGCACAAATACATATTGTATTACATACTGATTGCTGACAGAAGATATATAAAGAAAAATCAAGTGAATGCAACTCTGAAGATTGGATTTTTGTTGTTCTGCTCCTGAATGCAACATCTGTAATTTTGGGGACTTGAACGGTGTACTCTATGCCGCTGGAAAGCAGCCTTGGCTTTCACATCAGCAAAAGCTTGGATTCAATGACAGCAACCTATAATCTATGTTTGAAAAGAAAACATCAGATATTCACAGTTCGCATTGTATCCTCTTGTACTTCTGATAGCTGATTTTGCAGAGCAGAATATTCGACGAGACTTAGAAATCTCAGTGTACAACACATGTTTGTTTGCTACGTTCTATAATATTAGTATAGTCATAATTATACTTTCTCTGATTTTGGACCCAAAAAAAAAACAGACGAGTTGTCATAGTTTAAGCTTGTTGATATAGCCTTTTCAATTATGTTGCTACATGATTGTCGGTGCGTGGAATACACATTGATGCACACACACCATCGTGTCGATGGGGAGGCTATAAGCGCTGAGACCTATGGCTTTCACAGCTTAAACAATTGCGAGATGCTTCGTGCCTGAACCTGCATGTTCCATAATTACTATTATATATCGAAACCTCTAGAACACTAAAATTTTACTGAATTCAGTATGGTTCCATTATTAAAAAAAGATAAATAGTGGGTTTGTGTCGGGGGAAAGGTTTTGAGATAAAATTCCGTGGTATGATTTCTGCCCCCTGTTGAGGCCTAAAGAAGAAAGAAAAAGCCCAATTTGACTATGAAAATGTTCAAGAAACCATGAAAGATAAGTCCCATGTCACTCCGTCCTATATTTATAGTTAGCGTCATAGACCCTAAACTAATGTTTTGTCTAACTTTGTGGTAAGGGCCTTATTTCTCCGTATGAAACCGTATTTTTTTAAAGTTGTGTGCATCTTATGCATCCTCAACAAACTAGTAGGAGTAGCTTCTGAACAGCGGTTTCGTGCTGATTACTTTGAAACACAAAACATTCGCGTAGCGTTTGTTTGTGCACAATTGGATCAATTGCAGTTATAAACAACACCCTAAAATGATTTGACAACCAAGCTATTGCTCTCATTAGTCATTACGTGGGAGTTGGATCACTGAAAGGCTGAAGAATCCCATCAGCAGTTCAGCACGCATGCCAAAAAGCAAAAGGTACCCGAACAAGCAAAGTGTTTTTTGAGTTCCTGTGGAGTGGGGCCCACTTTCTACAAGAGAATTACCCCAGGCCTCAGGGGGTCATTTCGGTTAATCTCCACACGCACACGGAGACTTCCCTTCTTCAGCAGTTTTTGGTGCGAAAGAAAGAGGAGAGAAGCGAAGGAGGTTTCTCAGCTGGAGCGGCTCCCTCCCTTGCCCCTGCCCCCACGCGCGCGCCACCGCCACCGCCTCCGATCCGAGCAGCCGGTGAGTCTCTCCTCAGTCTCCTTTCCTCCGCGCGGCAGCGCCAGTTCGCTAGGCTCTTCCGGAGCCGGAGCGTCCCCGGCCGCTGTCCCGGATCCTTGGATCTTCCACCGGTCCCGGCGGCGCGAAGCTCTGCTCTGTTTCCTGTTGCGTCTTGGATGTGTCTCTCTCTTTCCTTCCTTCCTGCTCCCCCCTTGCGCTGGTGAATGCTTATTGTGGTTCGTTTAGCTCCGTCTCCGTGGAGAGGCTCGCTCGAGGATAACCGGTGGTGGGCACTGCCACGGGGCCGGCGGCGGCGCCTGGTGGTGCCGTCGGCCAGCGCGGGTGGAACCGAGTGCGGCTTCGTGCGCGCGGCACGCGTCTCGGTGACTCGACGTGCCGCCGCGCCACGCGTTCGTTCGTTTCTTGGACTGTAGTTTCTTTGGAGAAAAGTCCGCTGTATAGAAATTATAAGCTTGGGATCTGAAAAAAGTTTCTAGATTGTGATGTGGAATGACGCGTCTTTTCTGACTAGTAGCTCGCATGTAATTCTTTCTTATGAAAAGGACTCTAGGTGGTTACCTGGGATCTATGTGCTCCTCGAAATGACCAGTAGCCAGTAGGAATCGACCAAACAGTATGGATAATGTTAATCTTTTTTTCACGACCTGCAGTAATAATTCGAGAGTAACAAGCAGTAGAATGCCGTAGTGGTTAGATTGGATGGATGGATGCTACTAGTGTACAAGCCATTTGATGCTATATCTTGAACATGAGCTACCTGATTGCTACCCACCAGTTCCATTTAGATGATGGTTACCTTGTCATGCATCACCAAACTGTTGTTTCTTTCTCAATTTGCAGCCTACAGTCAACCCATTCAAGATTCAACCTCAAATGTTCCTTGTGAGGTATCATGACTGAACAGCAGGAACGTGTTAGCAAGAGCTCTTCGTCAAGTATTAGCAGCAGCACTCAGGAGAGTGAGGAGGAACTGACCATTGGTACCCTTATAACTGAAGCAACAAACACAACAAACAGTGCAAAGAGTCTTGGAAGGCGCCTTTCACACTTAGATTCGATCCCGGTACTATTCTCACTGTTGCGCAATATGTTTCTCTGATAATGCTGGCACCTCTGCTTCCTTCAAGTTTACCTTCTGGATGTACCATAGTTCCTGATTGGAGAAAAATATTGTTGAGCTGTTTGGCTTGAGATAGAACATGTGTATGTAGCATTCAATAAAGATAATTGGCAACAACAATAAATATGTTGCTGCATATTTATATTAGAGTTTTCTATACTTAGATATAAAATGTTATAATCAGCATTCGCTATTAAATCAGATTACTATGCTGCAAGCTTAACTCTAGCCCTTGTACAAAGTTGCTGATGTTCTTAATGGCAGCACACTCCGCGTGTTAATGGGAAAATTCCAGATTTTAATAATGCGACAATTGATCATGAATCATTATTAGAAAGGTAAAGTTTTTATGGTGCTTTTGCTTTTATCCTCTGTTTTCCTGTTAGGTTCATTTACCTCAGAACTTTTTGGTGGCAGATTGGGCACTTATGGCTTAGCTGAATACCAAATAGAAGGAGATGGGAATTGCCAGGTTAGCTTTTTGTATCATGTACAGAATTGTTTTTTCATTTGTATGAAGTAAATTCATCTAGATATATTATTGATACTTTAAATCAATAACCTAGTTCTCTGTAGATTAATTGACTTATGTTATGTTCATCAGTACCGATATACCGGGTTGCTTCAATCTTAATCTACCTACCTTGTACCTAGCTATTAGTAATTTACTATATTTTGTTCCTGCTATGAGCAAAACTGATTATGATATTTCGGTTTATTGACTAGGTGGTTTTGTTTTGTCTTTTACATTTTCTCCATGTTTACTTTGTTCTTGTTGCAGTTCCGAGCTCTGGCAGACCAGATATTCCGCAATCCTGACTATCACAAACATGTGAGGAAGGCGGTAGTGAAGCAGGTATATCCACCTTTCCCTCTCTTTCTCTGATAGATCTCTTACCTACATAATTCGTTTATTCCATAGGAAAAATATCTTGCTATCTTAATTAGAGTTTTCCTGGATATGCGACTGTTCTGAAGTATTGTCTCTCTATCTAGCTGAAGGAATTCAGGAAACACTATGAAGGTTATGTGCCAATGGAATATAAGGTTTACTTGAAGAAAATGAAAAGGTTTTAGTCTGTATTAAATTCAAGATGCCTAATTCTGTCTTGCGACTTTTTTTCTTCTCATTTCCTGATGTGTGCCTTTCTTTTATATAATACTGTAGATCTGGGGAATGGGGAGATCATGTGACCTTACAGGCAGCTGCAGACAGGGTACATAGCACTTTCAAGCTATGAGTAAAAAACATTTTATCTACAGGTTTTGGCATTATTTATCTTGTGACCTCTAGTTCTAACTGTACTTAATAGTTAATAGAACTCCCCAGATATTTTTAAGCTTATACTGTCCATTCACAAATCAGTAGCGTTTTTGGTTGCATCTAATCAAACTATCTATATTTGGTCCACCAATTTCTGTTTATTACATGTTGAGATTGAAAATCTGGTATGATTAGATTTGTCACTAAAAGCAGTATCATAATATTATATTTTTGCCACACTTTGTAGATATATTACAATAGAATTTTGTGAGTACATATATATTTGATATCCAAAATGTCACTTAGTTGTGAGTTGTGGCTCGAGGGAGAAATTGTATACTTGTCTTGTATCATAGTTCTTTGAATATTTCTTTCAAACTGTTTCAATAGAATACTAAGTAGTTTTATTATCAGTAGGATAATATGCATTTACTAACAGCAACCATTTTTATCTGTTAAACCAGTTTGCTTCTAAAATATGTCTGTTGACGTCGTTTAGGGACACATGCCTAGTTGAGATAGTCCCCAGAGATGCCACTCCAACAAGAGGTTAGAGTTGGACCCTGTCCTGTCTTCTCCAGTTCTCTGTCTATATCATGTATCAACTATTGTATCCTCTTTCTAGAACCATGAACTTTTGTTCATGTATCATCACATATACAAGATCAGTAAATCATAATGGAAAATTTGGTGTCTCATTATTCACTTGTACCTTTTTGCAGAGCTTTGGCTAAGTTTCTGGTGTGAAGTACACTACAATTCATTGTATGCAGTTGAAGGTTAGTGGTTTCACTTGATGCTTGCTGATATTTGATAGCTTGTATTCCAAAAATTTATATGGCATACCAGTTCATCTGACCCCCACACTATCCTTTCAGATCTTCCGACACGGAAAACTAAAAAGAAGCATTGGCTGTTCTAGCTCGCCAGGCTTCGGTGATTTCTTGATATGCTATTGGTCTTCTCTTTGTAGTCCAGCAGCATTTGTAACCCTGCTTAGTTACTCCTGTTGTTAATGTTGTAAGCTGTAACTTGACCTGGAATCAAATTCATTTATTAAGATCATTCTACAGTGAAGTGCTGAATTTTACTAGTGCAGTTTTGGGCAGTCTGCCTGCTCCGGTGGCGGCTGCATTCGCCATATTTTTCTGTATTTTACTAGTGCAGTTTTGGGCAGTCTGCCTGCTCCGGTAGTCCGGTGGCAGTTGCATTGCTCCATTTCTGTAGCGTTGACCTGAGTGATTTTGTGGCACGTTGGTGCTTGAAAATACTGCACACATTCAGCGTTACAACCACTCTCGACCATACTGAACTCTTTCCACTGCACACATTTCAGTTACATGCTTCAGGAGGTCGTGAGCAGGAGGTTTGCCGCAGAGGGGACTAGCAAGGGCAGCACAAGCCCATGCTATCACCAGATTGGCGATGTCGATTCATTCATCACGTTCTAGTGCATCACTTGTGCACAGCACAGCACCGAAAGTACATTGCAGTAATTCCCACGAAGTGTTCAGAATGGTGATGCCCGCTGTGGCGCTGTATAGAACAGAACGGTGCACGTACACCACATCTAGAGCTTTTTGGCTCATGGTTTCTGCGACTGATAAGTCGACTGATGCTGTTTTATTGTGAGAGAAAACACTGTACCATACTGATAAGTTTAATGCCAATGGATGACAGAAAATCAGACATTTCCTTTTCAAGAGCACATAACAATATGGACTAGGAATTCTATACACGTCGAGACAATTTTTCTCCGACGTATATACAACCTGTTCGCTTGTTGGTTTTAGGTAGGAGGGCTTATAACCCACCCAAATGAGATTTTCTCTCATAACAAACCAAAGACCGGCCGGTCTTATCAAATTTAGAAACCAACCAAGTGAACAAGCCCTGTTGGTGGCGGGTATTAAAGCCGACTAATAAGCCGGTGAAAGTTGTTTTTATTGTAAGAGAAAAATCGTAGATTCTAAATTGATAAACCCGGTGATAAGTTCAATGAACAGGGGGCTTTACAAAAATGTGACAGATGTTTGTGGAATCTGGGTACAGGTCCTAAGCTGCAGTGATCAGTCATCCTACATAAAATTCTCAAAAAAAAAAAAAACTTTCTTGTGTTGTCTATTTTTCCTGAACTGTTCCCTCCTCGCTTCAGACTACATTACTTCTTCTATTTCGGTGCTGCATTACATGACTTTGTTTCTAATCCTGAAAAGGATAGACCATGAAAGTGGCATGTCCTCCATGTACTCACCGTGTCATTGCCCCGGAACACAATTTCTTCCCATAATGCCACAATTTCTGCTGAAAAGGATAGACCATGGAAGATGGGAGAAGGAATCCTCGGAACACAATTTCTTCCCATAATGGAAGAGGCACCCCAAATGCAAATGCCACCTGCCCCGGGTTTGGGTGCAACCGTGCAGAAGCAGAGCCAACCACTGCACCAGTCAGTCCATCGTGGCTCGCTCGCTGCTCCGGCCTCCCTGGCTAGCGAGGTGAGTGAGGCAGAGGCAAGTAAGGATGAAAACGGAAAGAAAATATCCCGAACCGAACCGCATCGTTTTCTATATTTGACCCGAGCGAATTCGTATTTTCGGACAAAATACGGAATACTAAATTCGAATTCGAAATTCGGAACACCAAATTCGAAATCGGATCGAATTCGGTTTAGGCTTTGTTCGACCGATTTCTACTTTTCTACTTTTAATTCGGAATATCCCGAATTGAAATTGATTTGAAATTCGGTTTAAACCAAATTTGACCCACTACAAGTCCAACCTTAGAAAAATTATATCTTTTTCATACGATCTCGGATGAAGATGATTTTTATATGAAAATTGTAGCTCTCAGCGAGATCTACACTTTCTAGTTCTTAGTTTTTCATTTGATGTCTTGAAAATGTTCAAAAAAAACAAAACAAAGTCAGCGATATATTAATCACAGCAAGACAGCGCTTGTTGCCTTAAAAAAATCATATCTTCTTACGTCGTGTTGAATGGAGATATTTTTAAGAAAGTTGTAGGACTTGTTAATTATTATGTACTTGTTAATTATTATGCACTTGGTCCTACGGGTCAATATTCCGTATTGATTTTTCAGATACCGACCGTGTTCGCGCATAATTTCGAATTAGTTCGTTTTCAAAATTTTTGATATTCCGTAAGTTCGTGTTTGTTTTCGTGTCCGAACACCGCTTTCGTTTTCGTTTTCGTATTCAAAATGTAGAAGTAGAAAACGGTTGAGAGGTTTTTCGACCGTTTCCGACCGTTTTCATCCCTAGAGGCAAGCCGAGGGGGAGCCCTCCCGCGGCGGCTGCTTTCTTTTGGGCCGATTTATGGCGATTTAATGCCCACCAGCGACAGCGAGGAGTTGGGCGCATCAATGGCGTCGCCTCCCCACACATCCAAATCTCACACCTCGTAGCCACTGCTAGCTTCGTCCCCTTCGCTTCCTTCTTCCTCCCTCTCCAGTCTCCACCTTGGGTTTCTTGGCGCACCACTCCCCCCAAGAAATGCTGCTCTCTTTTTTCGGTTTTCCATTCCACCGGTACCAGCCTTGCCTTGGCTTGGAGTGTTGACCTCTCTGCGTGCTCTCTGGCTCGCCATTAATTCCCTCCCGCTTGGCGCTTGCTGCTGCTGACCGAGGGCAGCTAGCCAGTCAGGCACGAAATCGAAGCGTTCCAATTCAAATCCCCTTCTTGGCTGGCTGGTCTCCGAAATCGTTTTCGCGGCAAAAGCAAAAGGATTTATTTACTACGACTTTCTAGATTTCTTGAGCTGAGCGCTTGACGACGAGGCCGGAGGCATGGTGGCGGAGCCGCTGGTGCACAAGGTGCTCTCCATGGCGACGACGTCCTCCTCCTCCAAGAAGGTGCGGCCGGCGGCGAGCGTCAAGGGCGGCGCCGAGGCGGCGGCCGCGGGCGACGGCAGGGTGGGCATCCTGTCCTTCGAGGTGGCCAACGCCATGTCGCGCGCGGCGAACCTCTACCGCTCCCTCTCCGACGCGGAGGCGGCGCGCATGCTCGGCCCGCTCTGCCTCGGCTCCCACGCCGTGCGCGCGCTCGTGCCCGGCGACGACGCGCGCCTCCTCGCGCTCGCGCTCGCCGAGAAGCTCGACGCGCTCAACCGCGTCGCGGCCGTGGCCTCGCGCCTCGGCCACCGGTGCGCGGCCCCGGCACTCATGGGCTTCGACCACGTCTACGCCGACCTCCTCGCCGGCCGCTCCGACGCGGGCGCGTTCGCCGTCGCCTCCGCCTCCGACGCCGCGTCGCTCGTGCGCAGGCTCGACCGCCTCGCTGCCGCCACCGCCGCGCTCTACGCTGAGCTCGAGGCGCTCACCGAGCTCGAGCAGTCGGCGCGGAAGCTGCCCACTGACGAGGCCCGCCGCGCGCTCGAGCAGCGCACGCGGTGGCGCCGCCACGACGTGCGCCGGCTCAGGGACTCGTCGCTCTGGAACTGGACCTACGACAAGGCCGTGCTCCTGCTCGCGCGCGCCGTGTGTGCCATCTACGACCGCATCCGGCATGTGTTCGGCGACCCCATGCTTGGGCTCGACTTGCTCGCCATGACCCGGGAGTCAGGACAATGCGACCAAAGCTGGCAGCTCTCCGGTCCAGTTCCCATCCAAAGCAATCTCAGTGATGGCAAGTCAGGGCCGATTTGCAGAGTCGATCCAGATATGTCGCGGCCAGTGAGTTTTCGGTCAAGTTGTGGAGCAAGCCCGAGGAAGATGTTCATGGAGTGCTTGAGCTTGAGTAGCTCGGTGTCATGGAAGGATGGGTTCGAGGATGAGTTCTTGGAAGATTCCAGCTGCATTAGCACAATCAGATCAGGGATGCTTGTGCCATTCAGCAGCGAGCAGGGGGTATCCACAACTGCAACGCCATCATTGAAGAATGGCAGGATTGGCAGAAAGGCGCGGTTTGGTCCGAAGAGCACGGTGACATCACTTGCGCCGCTGTCCACAATTGGCGGCTCCGCTCTTGCACTGCATTATGCAAACATTGTCATCATCATCGAGAAGCTGCTCCGGTACCCACATCTTGTTGGTGAGGAGGCACGGGACGACCTGTACCAGATGCTGCCATCGAGTTTGAAGGTGGCGTTGAGGAAAAATCTGAAAACATATGTGAAGAGCATGGCGATCTACGACGCGTTCCTCGCGCACGATTGGCGGGAGACGCTTGAGAAGACACTGGCATGGCTTGCTCCGATGGCCCACAACATGATCCGGTGGCAGACCGAGAGGAACTTTGAGCAGCAGCAGATCGTGTTGAAGGGGAATGTGCTGCTGTTGCAGACGCTGTATTTTGCTGATCGGGAGAAGACAGAGGCAGTGATCTGCGAATTGCTTGTCGGCCTAAATTACATCTGCCGGTACGAGCAACAGCAGAATGCTTTGCTTGACTGCTCTAGCAGTCTCGACTTTGATGATTGTGTGGAGTGGCAACTTCAGTAGAGCCAAAGCCAAGGTCAGGTTTCTGCTCTGTTCCTGACAAGTGATATGAAACAGCAAGGGTACTTGTAATTTGGTTCTGCTTGTTTCTCTTTTCTTTCTTCCACGTTGTTTTTGGTGCGTTTTGCACATGAGATCATCATCTATTGTTAGATGAAATATAGAGCTTTGTCGACTTGAAAGACCCTCAATCTAACTCCGGCTGTACATAATTAATCATGTTGAATCCTTGTGTGAAGCAACCTGAAAGCAGGTTTGTTACTTAGTAAACTTGCGTCAAATGTGTATGATTGAAGATATTTTTCAGCGATTAGAAAAAAAAGTATGTGGCATGGTAATCTAGTCAGTCAATGAGCTGGTCCTATGTTTAACCTCTAGCATATGGAGTGTTGAGGAAATGAATATTAAGTCAGTACCTTAGTTATTTGTTTTTCGTCAGCCTGGGACTATGCAAAAAGCAATCTGGAAAAGCTAAGATACAATGTAACAGTGTCACATAAAGGTGTAGCTTTAGCCACTAATTTAGGAAGTATAATAATAGTAATATCAGGGTAGTAGTTGTTGAAGCTAACCCACTGATCTCAAAAGGGAACTATATCATTTTCTGCTTACCTTAAAGCACCGGTTTAGTTGGTACGCCAATTAGTTCACCTTCTCTGAAGGATTTTCCACTTGTTGGTCATTTTGTTGCCCAGAAGGTACAGCTGATGCTGAAGATAGCAAGACATTAGGATTAAAAAAAAAGATCCAAGAATAACAAAGTTTTCAAAACGAATGAGTCATGAATCAACCTGCTATGCATGCTGAGTTGCTTACCTGAGCTGTTGAGTGGTACTCTGTACCAGGGCTCTCAATCGTTTTTCAGAGGACGGCATGCATGTATGCTGCTCATCTGATCATGGAGCAAGTAAATTTAGTATGGTACTGTTCCTGGTCCTTTTTTCTAGGTTGATGAGAACAGCAATTTGTAGCTGCACACTGATGACATACTGTCTCTCTGATTTTCCACTCCCCGGTCTCTCTCTGCAAGAATTTGCTGTGCTAACATGCAAATTCGTTTTCATCAATCGGCTCCATCCTGCTTTCTCAGATTGCAAGTGCTCTTCTTGCGCTCAGTTACATCGCATTCGCGTCGTGTTTTGTTGTATTGCATTTTACTGTTCTGCAAAATTGTTAATTCCAGCAATACATATTAGCGCACATATCAAGTCGAATTTGTGGAAGTGCTAAGAAATACAGGTCACTGCATGATCAGCGAAGTACTATTGCCACATCACTCTATGATACTGCCACTTAGCACCAGAGAGACCATAATGTGTGGATGCTGTTTGCCTTTAGGGATGCAGACTTTTCCGTGGTCTGCATTGCCAGCATCTCCCATGAAGCTTTTGCTAATCATCAAATGACCAATGACAGCGCCTCGAGTTAGTACTTGCAAGACTTGATTAGGGTTGCCAGGCATGGTTGGGGACTGATTGGGATGCGCTTGCATTGCCAGTACCACTACTGTCCCTGTGGTCCGAGGTGGGGAGTTATGGTTTCTGTTATCCACCCTACAACCGTGAGAGGCTGGTACAATGTACGGATTGGATTAGCATATTGGATCCATCCGATCCGTGCTCGGATCGTTTTCACAATCCTAACTGATTTGTTCTTTCCTGACATTTTTGTGAACCATGGTCTGGGCTGGGATCCCGATCCATCCAAAATTCGAATTGATAGTTACAGCATTTTCTGGACTCCGGTTTACCAGCACACTGTCAGCAGATTAACTGATGTTAGATTGGGAAGAGGCAGATTTGGAGAGGCATTATCTCGGGAACAGCAGCTGGTGGCGCCGGCAATTGGCAAAGCTCGAGTGGTACCAGCACTGCAACTTTGGGGGCGTTGGCGGCTCAGCGTCTCAAAAGGCTGTGTCAGCTTTGATCCGGGAGTTGCAAAGCCAGTCCACCCACTGGCGGAAATCCTACCTGACAGTCATATAGTATGGACCACAAAGTGAAGGGGAATTTAGCAGCAATTTTCTTAGAGGTCTCTTGCTTCTGCAAGCTCCAAGTGAACTCAAAAAATTTTATCACAAAAAAAAGTCATTTTGTTACAAAAAAAAAGATAGTACCTTCTACTAGAATTAACGAAAAATAAACACTACGCCATACAAATATCACAACTGTGCCATAAGCTAGCATTCTGTTTCAAAGAGCACAAGGAATTTTTTTCAGTTACATGCTTCAAGGCAGCACAAAGCCACAAACCCAGGGTATCACCAGATTGGCGATGTCCATTCACATTCTAATGCATCACTTGTGCACAGCACCGAAAGTACATACAGTAATTCCAATGAAATGTTCAGAATGGTGCTGATCCCCACTGTATAGAAAAGAACGGTGCATGTACAGCATTGCTGATCCCCACTGTATAGAAAAGAACGGTGCACATCCAACTATCCAAGCATACAGCCATACAGGCGTTCAAGGTGTGCCATTAGATGACAGAAAATCAGACATTTCCTTTTCAAGACTCAAGAGCACATAACAATATGGACTAGGAATTCTATACTATGAGACAATATTCTCCAGCGTATATAATTTACAAAAATGTGACAGATGCTTCTGGAACCTGGGTACAGGTCCTAAGGCTGCAGTGAATAATCATTCTATATAAAATTCTAGAAAAACCTTTCTTGTATGTCTATTTTCCTGAAAAGAATAGCTTCAATCTTCTCCATGTGATACAAAAAGAAAATATCAGACAAGGCTCCATCAGAGATGTGAGATGTCCAAGTCTCAACTGAAACAACAAATACCAGCACAGCTCACTTCATCAAATCCAAGAACACAAAGCCATTCCACAGGCTATGCAGCACCATCAAGGCCAATAAGTTGCGTGATCTTGCAAAAACCCCTCCCATCACCACTCCAAGAAACACTAAAGGCATCACCCTCTGCATTGAAGTGAGCGAGCGCAAAAGCAGCAGCACTTGCTAGGATAGACCATGGAATTGGCATGTACCGTGTTATAGATGGGCGAAGGAATCCTCGGAACACAATTTCTTCCCATATAGGTGCACATACGGTGACTACCACTGCGTATAGGGCCATCACCACTGGGCCACGGGCCACAATGGATTGTTCTACACTGGACACCCCGACGACTGGACCTGGTGACATAGGAACCAGGCTGATGTTTATGTGAGAGAGCAGATTGACCAATGGGAATAAGAGGCACCCAAACGCTACATCCAAATGCCACCTGCCCTTCAAATTAAACTCAAACCAGCCTGGAGGAAGGGGCCGGAATCTACCAAGGCATTGGTGAAGGACTACAATCCCAGCAAGGCCTTCTGTTATGTCTGTCAAGAGACTATGTAGTGCTTGGCCCCTGTGCGTCAATGTTTCCTTGCTAAACCCAGCAGCATGAGCCAAGAATGGCACTATCCAGGAACCCACAAGCCAAAATGTGGCAATCCATAAAATCATGACCTGCATTCATAAATTACAAATGTGTCATTTCCTCTTAATAGCACATTTCATTTGAAGTGCTAAGATCCTAAGTGATCGTTATATTCAATGAACACACCTCTGATTTAAACTACTAATGAGGGAGAAGACATACCATAACTAAATTCAGGTGGTCAAAATCCTCTCAAGTGTTCTCTATAAAATACAAATAGAAACATGCTATAATATCTGCTAAATCCTACAGAAGTCATAACTGTATAAATTGGTTTAAGATTACAATAGAAATCATGGACCCCCAGCAACAGTACATTGCATATTTCAAATTTTAACAGTCTGCCAATAATCAATGTAGAAGTAACATATACAACATGTCATTCAGTCATAGAAAATATGAAGTTGCCAAAGAGCATTAGCGTCACAGCCAGAGGGGGACATCTCAGAAGATGGATGGAAGAACTAACCTGAGCAATGGTTTGTCCAGTCCAAGGTACTGTCCAACGATCTGTCTGAAATCTTACTATTCTGCCCTGTAAGTTATCTTTTATCTGAAACACAAATAGAGAATTCTCATTGACCATGACCAGACAATAAAAATACCCAGACACTTATTGCACCAAGAAGCAAAATACATAGTAGAGCAATAAACTTTTAATGGTATATTAACAGCGAGATAATGAAGAATGCACTACCGGATAAATTACTTATTCCATCTAGTGTTTGGCTTTAAAAAATATAATTTAGATTTAGTTGCCAAACTAAAGAACTTGTCAGTAAACTTTAGCACAATGCAAAAAATTGTCTATTGCAAATTTATATTGGGCAGTACTTACTTCTGTCCTAAACATTAAAATGATCACCTTAGAAGTTCCTCAAAATCTCAGATAAACATTAACCAAACACAGGGATTTCTTCATTCGCAAACACACACACACACACACACACACTTAAAGAGACCTATAAACTGCACTAGGATTTCTGAAAGATACTATCTAAATATTGTATAAAATTTTTAGAAAACCATCTATCGTCATTTCAGTTTCTTACATGGCATCAGACAATCGAGGCAACATAACTTGACAATCCAGTTACGCAGTAGTTTTTAGCTTTGTGGTATCATAAAGAAAGCTGTGATACTTTTTCCTTTCAAGCATCCCGTCCAAGTAGTACATTCCATGCCCAAAATTTACTAGAGTACAAATTACAAACAAGTCAGCAAGAAAATCGGACTTGCCTTCTGGACTGGCATGAATCAATCCCAGTCCTTGAAACTCTGCTCCTGCTCCTCATTCGCACTTCCTGCCTCGTCCTCTTTCACCTCTGCACCAGTGGAGCTCTGTGATTGGGTAACATGCTTAAAGCCATCACCTTCGTCAGATGTTGTTGGCCCATCTTGATCATCTCCGAAGCATGAGACATGCCACAATCTCCATCCCGTAAACGCTCAAAAGTAAAAAGGAGAAAGAAAAGCTCCGAATTATTCCAAGGGAAAGAAATACCTAAGAACGAGCAGATTGGCGAGCCATATAACATGAGTCAGGTGCTGAGAGCAGCATTGCAGTTCCTGGAACGAACTGGATGCATTGAGCACCCAGCAGTACACGAGTTTCTTTAACCAATTTAGAACTCCAGCTTCTAAACAGTCAGCACGCGCCACCAAAATGGAAGCCTGGAGCCCAGAGTTTAGCGGCGAGATCCGAAATTCAACAAATCCAAGCAACAGAAGAGGGGAAGTCGTGTACTGCTGAACGAAAGTTTTAGGTGCCCCCTATATGCGCACGCAGGTCGAATCGAGTGGTCGGACGGAGCGCGTACCTTCGCTGGAGCCGCCCTCCGACTCCGAGGCCCGAAGCCGAGCGACGGCCTCGCGGCGGTGGTGGTGGCGGAGGAGGAAGAGAGAGGTGGGAGCCAAACCCGGAACCGTGGAGGGGGAGGGGCGAGGCACGAGGTGGAGACATGGGTGGTGTGGCCGTCTGGGTGTGGTGTGGAGCGTGGAGGAGAGGAGGCGCGGCGACTCAAGGCTCGAGCGGTCCAGCCGCTCGACAAGTCGCGTTGTCACGTTTTTTTTTTTTCACTAGTCGCGTTGTCACATGAAAAATGCTACTCCCACATCCATTGTTATGTCACAGCCCACAACTCACAAATATTGGTACGATAATGATTAGATCTGGGCATCCGACGGATAGACCAACCTGCTCGCATTGCTCGCCCACGTCGTGTGCCGCGCGCCTCTGCCCCACTCTGCCTCGCTCACAAGATCCACTGTGCAGCGAGAGATGCGGTGGTGATGGGACTGTGGGGCTGTTCGGCTGGCTGGCCGGTGGCTGGCTGGCTGGGCAGCCCCAGTGATTTCAGCCAGAACAGTATTTTTCTCTCACAATAATCAGCTGAAATAGTATTTTTGCTTATTTTTCAGTCCTGCCGAACAGCCTCTGTGACGCCGGCTACAGGGGCTGTGGGGGTTACGTGTCCTACGGGGAGCCTAGGATAGCGACAGCCATGAAGGGCCCTCGTCGGCCTGGTGGGAGGCGGAATCGATATGGTCGATGGTGCGGCTGCCTCTGGTGAGCTCGGCGTGTCGGCGAGCCTCCATTTTATAACCGCTTGTTTTAGATATTTTAGAGATATATTATAAGTATTTTATATGAATGTTGCAAAAGTAGATAAGGATGTTGCATATGTTGTAACGGTTGTACACGTATATTGTAAACGTCTGTTCCCAATGTTTCATCTGTTTTTTTCAGACGTATGTTGCAAGAATGTTTATCTAGATGTTTCATATGTTTTACACATATGTTATAAGTGTTTAATCTGGATGTTGTGTATGTTTGCAATGATTTCAAGTGTTTTTGCAAGTATTTCATACACATGTTTTAAGTGTTTTATCTGTCTTCATGCGTATGTTGCAAGTGTTCTTGATGTTTCAAAAGTAGATCGGGTGTTGCATCTCCCTTCTCGTCTTCTGTTGCCTCACCTCGGTGTCTCCTCCTTGCCTTCAAAAGTAGATTGGCCTCGCCTTCAAAAGTAGATTGGATGTTGCATCTCCCTCCTCGCCTCGGTGTCTCCTCCTCGCCTTCTGTTACCTTAAATCCTTCTCAGACTGTGGAGGGGGCACGGTGGGGGCCACTGAAGGGGGCGCGCCGTGGGATGGCGGCGTCGACGTGAGCGCGCGCTCTCCCCTTCTATGTTACGCGGGCAGGGCACAGATACCGCTTTGTTGTTCTATTACTGCGAGCAGCCTGAAAATCGGACTCCCGTTGGTGGGTCACGACGCCAGCTCACGGTTAATGGAATGATTTAACAATTGTCTGGTGGGAGCTGCATCCGGACGCGTCCTAGGCACCAGAAGTATGGGCGCTAGCATCTCCGATATTATTGGTATGTCACTAAGCGTGTCTCACATTTAGTATATATATACTTATAGCATACAAGTATTTGTGCTTCCTCCATTTCAAATTGCAAGTTGTTTTTTGCACCTAAATATATATTATATCTACATATATATTAAAACAATGAATTAAAAAAACCAATGATTAAGAATGGAGGGAGTATGTGACAACAACATTAGTTTGTCTTTATTTTAACACATGTAACGTAGTCCATGATCCTATCAAGTTTTACTTCTGTACGCAAATCATATCTAATGGGATATGTAAGGGGGTGTTTGAGATTGCTCCACAAACTTTACCGTGGAGTAGTCCCATAAAAAACTAGAGTTTGTGAAGCATATTTTTAGGTGCTCTCACATCTACACTCTTTTTCCTCGAACTGAGTGCGTGGAGCTGAAACCATTTGACTAAAAAACATGGAACGGAACTGAAAAATGTGAAGCGGAGCAGTTCCAAACACCCTAAGTTAGATCTAAAAGGAAGATACTTTTCTATTTTTCTAACAAAATATATATTTTTCTAATTACCTTCTAAGAGTTAATATATGATAAAATCATTTAGATGGATGGCCTACAGTTATTTGGAGTAAGATACAGATATATGTTCATGGTATATGCTTTAGCGCACTGGCTCACGAGTTGTCTCGAGCTAAGAAATGAGGCGAGTCGAGCTAGACTTTAACTCGTTATTACACTACATGTCAAGGCAGTTTTTTATAGTAGTAATGAGCTATAACAAGAGAGCTGGCTCGATATCTAAGCCCAATCTACAGATAATTAAGTTATCTGAATAGAAGGACAATTGCTCCCCATAGTAGTACCCCTTAGGTTATTGTTCCGGAGAGCTACAGCCCGTTGGATAAACCAAAATTGAGAGCTTAGTAGAAGTAATGCATTCCTTTACTAGGTTAGCAAAGTGATTACTGAGCCCCAAATTAGTGACAGCAGATAGAATTAAGTCCCATTCAATTCTGTAAAAAACTTTAGCTAGATCTATTTTATGAAAAAGCCTAGCTGGTCCGCAAAATACACGCCATTCTGTAACTTCCAGACACACTTCAAAAGGATTAAATAAGGTAAGAATGCCATTGCGTCTACATTTGAACCCGGGAATAGAAATTTAGTTACATTATGGAGAGGATATCATTAAAGTATTATATTAAAATCGGAAAACAACAAAAATCGCCAAATGACCTTTCCACCCACCCTTACTTCTCACTCCGTTTCAATCCTGTAGAAACAGCAAGCATCTAGTCCTTTTTGCAAGGAGGTTACTGCATTGCGGCCGATAAAAAAACAACTCAGAACATGGCAAACCATCTTAAAACACACACTGCAAGTGAACAAATACACTTCACATGAATGTGTAGATCTGATTCTGAAACCATAAAAATAAAAGGGCCCCAGATAAACGAGCCATCACACAGCATTCAGCTTTACAAACTACAGACTGCCCGACACTGTCAACGCTTTTCAGCACATCTATCGACAGACAACTCTTGGCCATAGTCTTTCACAAGTGCGGCATGTGGGTTCTAGCTTCAAACACAGAAGCACAACAAATTAGCTGCACATACTTGTTTCCTTTGTCGATATAAATGAAATCGGACAAGGACTTCCTCACGTATACATCATGTTCAGTGTGCTATGTGTCAAAGTCAGTGGCATGAGACGTTATTCGTTCCATAACTTAACCTTTGCAGGCTTGTATCCGACATATCTGTCATCCATCTCTGCGGTCCACCATCATCGCCCAAGACATTGTATGCATACGATGAAAGCCCAATGTTCTCACCACATGAGCTCGCCTTTCCTAGGTTATATAACCTTTCTGTTCTGGACAGCACTACGAGGTTGGAGAATGTTGAGAAGCTATTGCCAACAAACACATCTGCTCTCGAGCACACCTCAAAGTCAATGGCAGACTTTATAAGATATGGCTGCCGATCATAGATGTCAGTAACTCCAAGTTTCTTCTTCTCATAAGCAACCATACCCACTCTCCACCCACTGGTTATTGAATCATCTTCAAGAAGGCTGTCAGCTACCGCAACATAAACAACAACCGGCCGACGTAGATCAGTGATCTGTGAGACCTTATGAATGATCTCTTCTTTACTACTGCAGATTTCATGTGACTTGGACCGCTGCTCCCACTTCTTGCAATGTATCATCCAATCTTTTTCTATTCTCATGTGAACAGCAACATACGGTACAGGCGGATTCGTTGAGCCATCTCTCCTCTGCTTACTATGAGAACTCCCAGCTTCATGTCTTGCTCTTTGGCCTGCCTCTCTAATCTTGGATATGACCTTAACCACTTCGGTTTCTATCTCAGGAACTAAGACAAGGCAATCAAAGATTTTGGCATAGTCTTTGACTGGCCAGTGGTCAGGCCACAGAAATGGATTTTTCCCAATAATTTCAATGACTTCAGAGTCATCCGCATTGCTCCCTACCAACTGCTGCAGTTGATCCAAATCTCTGTCTGACGTCCACCTTCTACCAGTCCCCTTTTGGAGTTTGAAAGGCTCGGTTCGATTTGAAACTTCTGAATACTGAGCTAACCTCACAAAGCCATGGCAACGCGCATTGAACTTGTTAAAGTCAAACACCTTGTCAAAATTGATAGGCTGCAGCAAGTCAACCTCTTTGTAGAAGAGAGAAGCACTCAAGCTTGGCATGAGAAGGGATCTGTTCAGGAATCTTGCAGTCATGCATGCTCTGGCGAATGCAATCTTTTGATTGTTCAACCCCCATATGATCTGTGGGACCTCAAGAAACTTGTCTCGTCTAATTCTAGGAAGCAAGTCAGGGGCTGTTGACTCGTAAAATTCTTTCTTCTCAGATGAATCTATAGCAAGAAAAGGAGATACAATTGCTCTCAACAGAATAAGGGCAATCACTACCAGAAGGCCTTTACAGATGACAGGCCTTGCGGGCATGCTAAACAGCTTGAGATGCTTAAGCTCAAGTAGAATATTCATCGGACCACTTGTTCAAACCCTTCTCATCCTTTTAGCACCCAACCATGTAAAGTATGTCGTTACCAACGCCCATGGTGCATGATAAACATTTATCTTCGAAAACTTTCAGATGAAGAGCAAGCTATGCTGCAATTTAATGGAAATCAATAACCAAACACACTTCAATTGATAACTTCACAAATTTACTCCGACCAATGTTGGCAAGTTGGGATCTTTCAAGCGCTAATGTCGGCATACTTGTTGATATTTCTCCATGACCAATTTAGTACATGCTCGATACAAGAGGCTGCAAATACAGATCAAAATAAAAAAGAATTCAATCATTTTAGCTGTTATGAATTTCCATCCCTGATATTATAATTTCATTTCTAAGGAAAAAAAATAAGGTAGGCACAGAAAGGAGCATTTTTTTACCATACTGCATTTACTAATGGATATTAGCATGCACAGGAGCTCATAAATGAACTTATGTGAGCTAGCATGGATTCTGCGTAGGTCACACAGAATCCCATGGATCACAGGACCCATTTGAGCACTTGTGTCGCACTGAACCGGGCGGCCATAAGTAAATGGAGTGGCAAATACGATCAATTAAGGATGTGCTGACACCAATTGGATGGGTTATTGCAGAAAGATTCATACTTGAGTCCGGAACAAACAATACCAAAGCGAAATGAACGGCACCCAATAAATTAGTTTAGGGGGTTGCTCACCAGCAGTAGAAATTAGCACGGATGGGTTCCCAAGGGCTGAGGCGAGGAGGAAAAGCAGGATTCGCTGACCATCGCATGCACCTTCTGTCGCCGGCGGCGACCTCTCCGCTCCCCGGCGAGCTCGTCCGGCGGCGGGAGAGGCGGAGTGTGACCAACGGCCGGCGGGGCGGAGGGGGCGCGAGATCTAGACGGTGGAGGCGGATTCCTTACGAATTCGTGTTTCTGCTGCCGTAGCGGGCGACTGACCCGAGCTGTCGGAATTGGCCTAACCCATCTCGGCTATTCGGCTGCCTGGAATTCGGATTCGGTTCACCGATCCGGTTGTGAACGAGGAGGTAGGTAAGGACTTGGTCACACGCATTTTTTTCAATATATAGCATTTCTTAATGAGACAATTGATATTTTATAGAACACCGAACGAAATTATAATGTTCTATAAATATTTTTCAATATATATCATTTTTAAGGAGACAATCTATATTTTATAGGCATATCGAACGAAATCACAATGTTTCAGTTTCATTTAGCTTGTAGTTCCTCAGTCCCAGAATAAACGCATCTCTATGATTTGAAAATTTGTTCCAGAATTAAAGGTTAGGCCTGGTTTAGTTCTTAAAAATTTTCACCTTAAACTATCACATCGAATCTTGCGGTATATGCATGGAGTATTAAATATAGACGAAAAAAACTAATTGCACAATTTGGTTGAAAATCGCGAGACGAATGTGTTTAAGACTAATTAGTCCATGATTAGCTATAAGTGCTACAGTAACTAACATGCGTTAATGATGAATTAATTAGGCTTAATAAATTCATCTCGCAGTTTCCAGCCAAGTTATGTAATTAGTTTTTTTATTAGTATCTAAAACCCCTTCCAACATCCCCGAAATATTCGATGTGCATGAAAATTTTTCATTACTAAACGCAACCTTCGTATAGGGTCTGTATAGAGGCTAGCTAACAGTTCAGCAGCTGCAAACCTGCAACTCTATCGATCTCCTTGGGAGCAATGAAATAAAAAAATCGTCATCAAAAAGGAAAACTGATAGGAGATACGTGGAAAGCTCTGGACCACTCTTTGGCTCATACCTTCTCACCGAGGTTTCTGTTCAGGCGCAACCTTATGGGGCGGTACTGTCATTTTACCTTCCATCTTGGTTCTCGCGCTAAATCCTAAAATGCTAACTTATTTTACCAAACAAAAAAAGTTGCCATGGATATTAAAATTTTGAAAAAAAAGAAAATAACATATTCCTCGCGATTAAAAAAAAGAACTGACCAGCCACAAGTCCACAACCCACAACGAACGGGACAGGACCTTAGCCACGAAGGGGCCTAGAAATTGCTCGGTTGTTTATCTTGGACCTTAGCTGCATACCTTGGACCGGACTGGCTTCCTTTCATTTTTTAAGTTGGACCAGTCGACCAGATGTACCGTTGAATTAGTCGTTTGACGAAAAGCACAGCTTAGCTTCCCGCAAACTCATTGCAAATCTCCTACTACAACTTTGTGTCGCTGATGGTAATCCAAAGGAGTGTCCAACAATTCAAAACAAATCCTTATGCAACAAAAGCTTCAGTATATAGTATATCTCAGTGGCCTAAGAAAGATTGATGATGTGAGATCCGATAGGCACGTATTTTTCACTGCAAACATGTCAGCACAGGAACAATGTACAATTGAAGAAGAAAGGAAGCCATCTGCAGGCTTCTTAATTTAACAGCGAAAGCCAAAGTCCAATACGAGGGGAAAGGAGCTATAGGGCTTTACATATCAACAAAACAATTTGTGTACAACAGTGGCGATTACACTCTCGCAAAACAATTACTTCCAATTACATGCTGGTGTGTAGTTCTTGATCGCTGAGGATCTGATCTTGCATTGTTATCGGCAGCAGGCAAAGAGGAGCTCCTTTGCGGTCCACGTCACCTCCGCAAGATCTTGGAGTGACTCGATGGTTTCTTTATTCAGTGGGAAAACCTTCTCCATGCATTCTGTCAGATTAGGAAAGGTGAGCTTAAAATGACCCAGCTTGCAGAAAGATTGCAAATGCAATTTTTAGGCCACATGGCCATTACTAGTTTTGCAAACGTACCTGGATGTCTCACAATGTTCAGCAGTGACAGCGAAGCAAGTACCCTCTCCTCCAAAACTGTGTCATAGCTTAAGCTATCTAAAAGCTTAGACGCGAGAATGGAGCATGCTAGAGGCTGGAAATCGTTGCATCCACGGAGTGGTGAGAGGGAGCTGCTCATCCATGCTACAGTGATGAGGCATGATCGACTGAGACTTGGGATTCCATCAGATATGCAGTTTGACAGTGCCATGAGGAACCTTTTGCCACCACTCTTCAGTAACATTATGGCAAGTTTCTTCAGCCGTTCTTCAACTAGCTTTTCTTCTTCCTAGTCATTAGTGCAAACATGATGGTTTAAAAAACCAAACATTTTAGGGGGGGAAAACAAAGACCAAATCATAAGTAAGGTAATCATAAATCATAGTTTTTTTTCGTTCATTTGAACGTACCGCTCGAACACTCTTATCTTTGAATATTTCCGATCTCCTAAAGGATTCAGAGAGGGAATCATCTAGGCCTGCTCTCTTTAGTAGCCATGCTTCTGCTACGGGTTCTCCTGAAGACGAAAACCGCCCTGCCAAGATTAAAAGAGCTCGAGCACACTGTTCCTGGACCTTTCTGCTCTGTGAACTGTGCTCCAAAGCAGCTATGATGGCTTCAATCGCTTCCTCTCTGTATACGCTGTACTGCAAAGGATCACCCTGCAAGAAAACTTCCATATGGGAATTGAACAAATACCAAACACGTGCCTGAGCAAAGGAGGAAAAGGTAGAGGTGTTACCAGGAGATCAAGCTGAAGTAACATGATAGCTGCTAGTGGGTGCTGGACAAGAGGAGCCTGCTGGAGATAGACTAACAGAATATGCATTGTATTCAAGCACCCAGTGTTTTTCAGCTCCTTGACGAACTCCACAGTTTTGGTTGTTCTGTTTAAAGAAAGAAAATTAGTTCAATCCAAGGGGTATTTTAGAGATGTTTTTCAGAATACTTATGTTACTGACAGCGGAGAAGTATGTCACCTATTAAGGCAGACGAGTTCACTCATCAAATTAAGGGACGCAGCACTAGCTTTCTTCTGATTTCCAACAAGAAGTTGAACAAGAGGCTCCTTATTCAGATTATCAGCTAAGTAGTGTCTACAACTGCCGTCAGCTTGAATACATGTGGTCAAGAGAGCAATGCAGTGTCTGCTCTCGCGAGCATCGCCAGCTTCGAGCCTGCTGATAAGGAGGTCCAAACCACCGAGAGCAATCATCTGCTTCGCATTCTCAATGTTTCTGTCAACATCAAACCCCATAAGGAGCTGATCTAGAAAATAGAATGCAGCTATTTTTGGGGCGCATTTTACAGAAAACAGAGATTGCACCTCATCGCCACACTCCAATATGTGCAGTACAAGCGGAATCCAGTCTAATGATAGCATCTGCTTAGCTTTAGGCTTCATCATATAAAGCACTACAGCTGCCTTCAGGAACAACTCGTTGCTTCTCAGGAGTCTTAAGAAAACCTCGAGCTGTGGATCTGCATTGAGCACAAGCTGTCTAATCACCTCATTCCCCAAAACCAACTTTCCCATTATCGATATAGCTGACTCCAGTACAGCATCGTCTTTGGAGGTGAATGTAACTTCGAGAAGACCTTGAATAAAAGAGGCACATGACAGCAAGTTTACAAAATTTGGGTCCCCTTGCGAGGTTGAACATGCTCTGGCAACTTCATGCACAGCATCCTCGCATTGCCTAAGGCTGTCCGAATTGGATACCACGGAAATTGCTCGTTCCAGAGTCATTGTTAGCTCACTGCTGTCTAGCTCTTTCTCGGCCGACACAAGTTCCTTTTTTGCTATTTTGGGATGATTGATAACATTCTTGCTTATATCACCTTGACAGGAGAATAATCGAAAAGAATATGATTTCCGTTGTGTAGGTGTTGTTTCTAGAATAGCACCTTCTTTCCGAGAGTGGGAATGCTTTTCCTGGAGCCCCATTTTACTCTGTCTACTCAAAAAAGGCTTAAGTTAACTAACTTCAAAGGTATATGCAGGACTAAACAATTCACATTCCATGAGAAATGAGCTAGATGCTTCAAAAATAAATGTCAACAGCAAGGGAAAAAATTCTTAGCATGCCTCAAGCAAATAAGCCCTGGATGATAGAAAAAAAAAACACAAGAGACGTTTACACAACTTTCATTTACATGTATGTCTGGTGCAACCCTAGCTATCCAGATGCCTCCTCTCTTAAACCAAGGCATACTCTACTGTCTTTCCCTGCTACAAAAGAGAATTCACAACAAGCATATGCTTGTAGTGTCACTCTATCAATACTAGTAAACTCAGTCAGTTAGCAGCATAACTACACAGTCTGAAGACACACAAATCAAGTGAACAATACGATCAGACAAACAGGAACATGTACTACAAAAGATGCTTATCAGCCACCAAGAACAGTAATTAAAACACTATATAACAGTGTTATTCTAAAATAAGAGAAGAATTTTGCATTGTCAATTCTAGATATATGTTAATCCTAAATCAAGATGGAATTTTCATGACTAACTGTGAAATCAAATGAGCCATAAAGGACAGAATGTTTCTCAGTTGAGGAGCAAACTTTTTGAACCGAACAGTTCAGTGGATGCTAAAAGTAGGACCGTAGTCCCTGCCTACAAGGCTACAACCACCATAAATAACTGAGGATTCTAGGAATATGACCAAAATTTTCTAGGCCCCACGGCATAGAAAACAAATATGATATGTACTGGGATCAAACGGCTGTCTCCTTGGCACCACTTTAATTATTTTCAACTGCAAACAGTGACCACAACTCGTCACTTGTCTAAAAGATAGATGCCAATACTAGTTTGCCACGCCAACAAACACATATTATAATACGAGGCAAGCCATCTAGGGTCCAGTTTAGTTGCAAAAAATTTTGCAAAATTTTTCAAAATTACTCGTCACATCGAATCTTTAGACGCATGCATGAAGCATTAAATATAAATAAAAAATAAAACTAATTACACAGTTTAGACAAAATCCACGAGACGAATCTTTTAAGCATAATTAGTCTATGATCGGACACTATTTGCCAAATAACAACGAAAACCGCTGCAGTAGCATTTCGCCAAATTTTTTTTGTCATCTAAACATGGCCTAGGAGTCGTCATCTGGAGAAAGTTGAAGGAACTGTTGACTCACATGAGCAAGCTTCTCTGTCTTCAGGCCCACAGAATTATGATCCAATTCGACATCCAAATCCAGAACTAGTCCAGTCTCATCGTCCAGCTTTGCATCTTTGACATCTTCTTGCCCGGGAGCTGTCCCGAAAACCGCATTATACCTGCAAGCAGAATTCAGATAACTCAGAGAAACTTGATCTTGTTTCCAATGCATCTGTGGGAAAGGATCACCCACAGGTCTCTATTGATGGAGGTCCTGTGCACCGAAGCCGAGTTCTTCTCGCGCCCATCAAAATTCCTGGGCATGGAAGGCAATGGCACCGAGGGGACCGGAGGCGGCGCGGCGGCACCTGACTTGAGCCACTCCTTGTAGTACATGGCAAACTGCGCCGTGCCACTGTCCATGTGATCGTTGTAGAGCCTCTGCACGGTCTTCATCCTCCTGCACCGGTCGTCGGCGTCCCAGTCAGCGACGAGGTCGACCTCCTTGGTGAGCCAGACCTTGAGGTGGAGCAGGTGGGGCAGGAAGACGTGGTCCCAGAGGTCCGGGAGGAGGTCCCTGCGCGCCAGGCCGGGCGCGTCGGCGAACACCTGCATGAGGTGGCGCGCGGCGACGCGGTCGTTGCGCTCCATCTTGTAGACGACGGCGAGGTAGAGCTGCGCGCAGGCGGCGAGGTGGGAGTTGGGCACCCCGCAGGTGCGGCCGCCGCCGTCCCCCGCGGCGCCGGGGCGCGGCGAGTGGAGCGACGCGACGACGCTGAGGAGGCGGATGGAGTTGCGGAGCGAGCGGATCTTGGCGTCGCGCGGCGCCTGCGCCTGTGCCTGCGCGGAGGCGGAGCCGTTGTCGGCGGCGAGGCGCTCGATGCTCTCGATTCCGAGCTCGAGGTTGGCCAGCACGGGGCGGCCCGCCGCGTCGTCGCCGCCCGCGGCGGCGGGCGCGAGGCACGCGGTGCACTTGTCGCGGAGCGCCCGCCTGAAGTCCGCGTCCCTCAGCAGCCTCCCGGCGTACGCGGACAGCACGGCCACCACTGCGCCGGCGGCAGCGGCCTCCCCCTCCTCCTCCCTCGTCGTCGTGGTCGTGGCCAGCGGCGGCGGCGGTGGCGGCGACGCGTGCCTGCACGACCTCGACCTCGACGACGCGCCGCGGGGGCGCTGGGGCGACCGGGCGGTGGCGCAGCGCGGAGCCAGCTGCGGCGCGTCGTCGTCGTCCTCGTCGACGCGCTCCCGCGCGAGCAGGTCACGGAGGGAGGACGGCGTGCGCGGCGGCGGCGGCATCATCATGGCGCTTGGGCGCTTGCTGTCTGCTCTGGACACTGGAGCATCCGCGTAATCGCGCGCTGCGCTCCCCAGTGCCTCACTCTGCTCTCAAGCCTCTCATAGCTTTGCGCTGGGTACTTGGGTGGTGCCGGGTAGTAAATGGGCGGAGGCGCTGGTGGCTGGCGCAGTTAAAACCCGGGCCCGCGGCTGGCAGCTCGGCCCCACCAGGCCACATACGCCCGCATGCAGGCGTGTTCTGTTTTGCGCACGTCGGGTACACTGTACACAGTAAAGCGTGTGACGTGAACAGTGAATTCGATTCATGAAAAATCCTAGGGGCTGTTTAGTTTCCTCAAAACACCAAATTTTTCAAGATTCCCTGACACATCGAATCTTTGGACGCATACATGAAGCATTAAATATAAATAAAAAATAAAATTAATTACACAGTTTAGACGAAATCCACTAGACGAATCTTTTAAGCCTAATTAGACTATGATTGGACACTAATTATCAAATAACAACGAAAATACTACCAGTAACGTTTTGCCAAAAATTTTGGCAACCAAACTGGGCCCTGGAGCCGGTCACTGTCACTATTGGAACCACGTTTGTTTTTAAATTTTTTCCTTACTTTTTCATCATACGTATACGCTCATTAGCACGCTAAAAACAGTCAAACTCACTCGTACTTGAACAGTTGAACTCATGCATGGACCTGCTAACTCTATGAGCACTACTATCTTTTGTTTAGGTGTGTTAAAAATGTTAGTGCGCTATTAGGTAAGAATGCAGCGTTATACTTCTTTGATTCTTCATTTAGATTTATTATAAGTTAAACATTTTAAATTTTGATCATTCATATAAAAAGTCATATAAATTAACAATGTAAGATTTACGTTTACCAAAATAATTTCACACCGAGTGACCTTTTATTTATGACTAGCAAATATGCCTGTGCGTTGCAATGGGAGAAAATCAAAACTTATATCTCTACTTAGTTACTAAAGATATGTATATTTTGCATTTAGTCCATCGACAATGAAGGGGCCCGTTCGGCTTCTTTTTTCAGTCGGAACAGTGTTTTTCTCTCACACCATTTCAGCCAGAACAGTGTTTTTCAGCCAATTTCAGCCAAGATTCAGCAAGCCGAACGGGGCCAAATTACATTAGAACATTAACCGTCTATAAAAGTGCAATTTTGAATAATGCTAGCCAAATTAGCAAATTCATTATGTCATGCAAAATAAGTAGAAATATACTATCTCCGTCCTAAAATAAATGCAACTATGGGTTGTGTGTCACAAAAAATAGTTCATGTTTCACCAAGTTTTTAGTGAATAATATTCACAGTTATGTCTTTAAATTAATTAATTATGAAAATATATTTCGTAATTAATCTGATGGTATTTATTTGGTATCATAAATATGGATATATTTTTATCTATAATTGGTCAAACTTAAGATACTAAAACGTGACACTGTGCTAGAATTGCATTCATTTGGGGACGGAGGTAGTATAAACATATATTATTTTTTAATCAAATATCTAAACATGTTTAATTATCCATGAAAGAGCGGAAAAGAGGAATCCCTACAGGCAGCCCGCCTCGCTCGTTAGGGCTCCGCCCTAGCGGCTACGTCCGCTTCGCCGTTGCTGCCGGCGGCGGCAGCTACCTCACCGGCGTCCGCCACCTCCTCCCCACCCCCTTCTCCTTCTCCGCTCGCCTCCCTACCCCCAACAGGTCATTATGGCCGCCTCGCCGCCCGCCCGCGGCGCCACATCTGCTGGTGGCGCAACCCCCGTTGTCGCTTTTCTGGTTAGATTGGACAATAAACTGCCCAATATTTATGTTCATGATTTAATTAATTAGACCATTAACTGATCTAGGTTATAATAATAATAATTTTTATTCTTAATCAAATTACATCAAAAATTTAGTAATAGGAATATTTGATTATTAAGGATTAGGGAAGGATGAAAGATCCAAAGATCCATTATATTGTGTTTATTATTTATTTTTATGTTTATAAGAAAAATCATGAGAGAATCAAGAAAACAAAAATGACATGCAAAATAATAAGAGAAAGGGCATGAAACAGACCTGATAGTCCAGAAAAGAAAAAAAGAAAAAAAGGAGAAGAAAAAACAAAAAGAGGAAGTTGAGAAAAGAAGTGGAACGAATATGAAAATGAAAAACAAATCGGATACGGTAACTGATCGGAGATAGTCTAAAAATGAAAAAGGCCGAACATATGACGGAATAGGAAAAGGAAAAAAAAATAGAATTTACTATATATAGTAATTGTATTGGGTATGGACTTTTTTGCCCATGAGTATGGACTCTTTGGATAAACATAGATCATACATAACCCAATACGTTTTGGAATCGGACTCTGTATCGCGCTAGATAAGAGCTATTCTAATTCGTATGAGACGGGTTATATATATAAGTCCAAACGGAAGAAACCATCTACTACCGGTAGTTAGGGGGAGGTGTACGAAAAAATGGATGGACAAAAAAAAAGACCGGAAATTTTGCCCCTTTATTATTTTTAGGTATAGAGATAATAAGATATTATAGAAATTATTGTTAGTCATCAAAATTGAAGGAGAGTTACTATATTTCAGATGTCTAGATTTTTAGACAACAATCTCAAACGGTCAACTACTAGTACAATTAAAAAATACAACTTACAAGCGACAGTTCATATTTTTTTCTATAACCAAACAATGACAAAATTACATGTTGCTTAAACAACAACAACAACAACAACAACAACAACAAAATCTAGACACTTGAGATATGAGAGAAGTTGACTTTTAATAGCTCTAGGTTCTATATATATTGTAATGATCAGCCGGGGTACTGGTTTTATCTTGTTTCCCTGTATAGAGTATATGTGCCATGTGCGTATAAGGATACGAGGCCTCCCTTGAAGAAGGCAACATGAAGCAAGCTAAGTGCACCTACTTGCGTAACTCACATACTCAGTTTGAGCCTTCAGAGTAACGCTATAGCTAATTAATCTGAGCATGCTAATCTTTTCTGATCGATCTATAGTTAGGTATGCCCCTCTTTTGTCCCACTATTTCCGTTCGCTTCGCTGAAAAAACAAGCTGAAACACTGTTCCGGTGGATTTGTTGTGAGAGAAAAACACTATTCCAACTGAAAAAACAAGCTGAAAAAGACGGATTATAAGAGAAGTGAACAAGGCCTATCTGTGCACGGCTACTATGTAGCCCAAAGCTCGAGTCATCACTACAAGAAAACCTTCCTTCTATGACAATAATCCTCAAGACGATACAAATTATTGTCATATAATATATCATAATACGACCCAAAGGACTCTGACGTCATAAATTCAGAACCATGAGAACTATATATGACGATACATTTTAGTTTGTCACATAAAGGTAGCACAGGTCATCATAAAATGTAAATCCCAGATAGCCGGCTGACGGTAGCAAATTTATGACGATATTTAGAGTTTTTATGTGACGGCAGTGGAGGATCACTATCAAATATGACGACCCCCAACGTCAATATTCCCCAATAGGAGCTGGACTCGGCCCATGACTGTCAACCTATTTCATGTGCTCCCCATCTCTCCCCAAGTGACGGCGGCCTCTGGGCAGAGCGAGCGCACAGATTATGTGACGGTTTTCCGTTTTTCACATTATATGATGGTTTTCCATTTTTCGTCACAACGTACATTTAGCGACGGTCTTTCTATGATGACCTTCCCCACGATGAGAACTTCCCATTCTTTGTCATATGATTCATTTTATGACAAATCCTTTATTTCCCATGGCATTATCATTTTGTCTTCAAACCTAGATTTTTTTGTAGTGCATATCCCTTACTTCCGATCATCCTAAGGAGAATCCAACACCAATGATAAGGGCATGAGCCCCCCTCCCACCAAAATACACCCAACTCCCTTACACGCTCATCTAGGGTTGCCCCTACCTCCTTCCTCCTCTAAGAAAGACACCCCAAAGCCCAAGATCAATAATGGCATACGTCACGAGAACAATAACACTTTAGCAATAAGACATGTACTGAAAAAGGAAAAAACACTCACCTACACATGTAAGTTTTTTTGTAAAAATATTTTTCATTTGTCTAACATGACTCCTGCTGTCGCATCTTTGCATGATACTAATAAGCGCACACATCCTCTAATTCTTCATATGCTTATATATTATCACATGGAGGTTAACAAGCTTATTATGTTGTGATGTCTATGCATGACTAATACAAGAGGAGAGAGAAATGGCAAAGTTGACACACAAAAGATGGAAGATTCATGCAAGTGCCATGTAGATGTGAAGAATATATGAAAACAGATGGAACTTGCAAGTGTGGGATTGTAAGAAAATAACTTGCGGAGATGAGTTTATGAAGATCTGATCTATATGGAGCTCTCTCTATAAACGATTTTTAGCAATGATACCATTCTTGGGCAGAGGCGGCTAAATTCTAGTTGCCCCTAGAGAGTCCTATGTCGGATCACACTAATTCAGTCGTCTCTAGAAATACATTTTCAGAGGCGGCTAGAAATGCCACCTCAAAAAATGGAGAATGTTTTTAGAGATGGCTGGGATTCGCAGGCACCTCTAGAAATACATGTCTAAATGTGGATGTTATTGCAACCATCTCTACTACTGTTTCCGGTAGACATTCTAGCCTCCCCAATCTTCCTCCTCATGACAAATACTGTAGCCCAGGGAGAAAGATAGGGGAGCTTGGTCAACTTTCTAAAAAATACAAAAATCTCTTAGAGGAAGGTTTTGCTTTTGATTTCTTTGGAGGATGAAACTCTTGAAGGTAAGTAAATGATATTCCTAACATCTTTTTACAGGTTTAGTTGTAGATTACTTGCTTAATTAGGTTTTTCTCTCTCTCTCTCTCTCTCTCTCTCTCATGGTGGTTGAGGCATTTATGAAACAAACTAGATGAAATTTTGAAGGTACTAGGTTAAATTCAGTAGGAGAACAAGAATGTAGGCTTATTTA